TTTTAGTTCAGCTGTAGGAAAATCTATAGAGATGGTGCCAGAAAAACACTTTCATAAAGGTTTCCTGAATATCTGGGATTTGTTATAGTCATACTAGTAGCTTTTTCCACTACTATGTTTTATTTATTTTCCACCAGCACTTTATTGCCATGCAGAAAAGCCTTTGTAGATAAGATGGTCGTTGCTAGTAAGAAAGCCTGATTAGAATTTTCCTTTGTAAACAATGAAGCACTTGATTACTTAAAGAATAGCCTTTGGCTATAGATCTTTAAAAATCTGGAATCCTTCTGACCACGTGTGGCCCTTTTGGGCATTTTTGTTTTAAGGATCTTGAATATTTGTATATATTCAGTGTGAGCATATTTATGTATGTATTTCTCCCTTCCCATACCCAAACCTTGGAAACTGCAAACTAGGGGCAGTGTCTCTGATGTTGCCTTTCTCCTCTTACAGTCGGATTTCAATGGATTACCAATGGGGACTTATCAGGCCTTTCCCAATATTCATCCACCTCAGATACCAGCAACCCCTCCATCGTATGAATCTGTAAGTGCCTGAGCCACTTTTGTAAGCAACAGGAGAGTGAATCCCATGAAGAGCAAGCAAAATAATGACCACAGGAAAGGCAGAGTTTTGATCAACTCCTAGTACCATCATCATTCTTGCTTTGGGATTCTTGTTTCGCTTTATAACATTACCCTGGATATGGGGAGTGGTGGTGATGGCAGTATCCGTTGGTGGCATTGCTTTGTCCGCAATTAAGCCAGGCATCAGGAAGGAACTGCAGATTTTTTAGAAAGTTGTAGTGCTCTATGAGGGCACTTAATTAGTTGTTTTGACTAACTAGGCAAAGGATCATGTTGAGCTGATAAAGTCGTGGTGCTAGAGTATCATAATTATTAAAATATTCATCTTACATGTTCTCAACACATATAAAGGAATATTGACCAGAATTATCTAGTTAATAGATGTCTACCAGTAGTATTGATCACATTTTAGTATTCTAGTCAAAACTTACTAATGAACAGCTAATATAGTAATGATACCTTGAACTGGAGGTGGTTTAATGCTTGTTTTTGACCAGCCTTGCTTTCTCAGTTACTGTATGCCTTTTGAGACCTGTCTCCATCTAGTTTACTGAGAAAGAAATTGGTATGGTCATTTGCTGTGTAAATTACTCATCTAGGAAGTTCTTCCTGTTCCTGAGCTTGCTTTCTGTTCTTTCCTTTGGTTTCCATCTCTAGCTGATGTGTTCTACCTTGGCCCTGAGTTTTTCTTATGCTTTGCTTTTGCATGTGTCAGAGCATAACCCACAGCTGGTTGTAGGAATGAGGTCAAAAACCTTCATCAGTATTTGAGGACTTGGTTCTTAACAGATATATTCAGGAATACTTTCTCTTTGTCCAAAGGTCAGTGTGATAAGGATTTTTTGTTTGGTAGTTAAGAGTTCAACATGAGGCTGGGCCCGGTGGCTCATGCTTGTAATCCCAGCACTGTGGGAGGCCAAGGCGGGCAGATCACCTGAGGTCAGGAGTTCGAGACCAGCGTGGGCAACATAGTGAAACCCTGTCTGTACCCAAAATACAAAAATTGGCCAGGCATGGTGCTGCATGCCTACAGTCGTACCTATGTGAAAGGCTGAGGCAGGGCAATGGCTGGAGCCCAGGAAGTAAGTAGATGCTGCAGTGAGTCATGATTGCACCACTGCACTCCAGCCTGGGTGACAGAAGGAGACCCTCTCTCAATTAAAAACAAAGGAATTTAACATGGTATCTACCTGATTGGAAGAAATGCAGGGGCAGTTTCTTTGAAGCAGGCTCTGTTGCACTTAGTGAGCAACTCAGCTTTTGGAAACACAGGGGCTTATATCAGTTCTTTTTTCAGTGATGCCATTGCTGTTTCCTCTAGTAACAATCATTGTGTTTCAGGTTGATGACATTAATGCTGATAAGAATATCTCTTCTGCACAGATTGTTGGTGAGTAGTATCAGTCTGAAACCTTCAGGTCTTAGTGCTGAATCCTCTGCTGTTTTCTCATTATTGTTCCTCCCTTAGAGACTGTTTCCATGCCCGTGGCATTCTATCTGCATGCTCTGTTTTCATCCCACATGCTAAAATACAACTCAGGATATCCTGCTTCCAAAGATTAAAGATTTTCCCTGGCCCAGAAGCAGCTCCCAAGTTCCCTCTTCCTGTCAGTGTTATCACTATTCTTTTTCAGTCATGCTTGACTTCTTTATATTATTGCTGCTTCAGCTTACATTGTGCCTCAAACAGCTCAGTGAATTTTACAAAGCAAACCTGTTAGTGTAGCTATCAATTAATTAAACAAACACTGGCCAGGTGTGGTGACTCACATTTGTAATCTGAGTACTTGGGGAAGTAGAGGCAGAAGGACCACTTGAGGCCAGGAGTTTGAGACCAGCCTGGGCAACATAGCAAGATCCTGTTTCTAGAAAATATTTAAAAAAAAAAAAAAAAAAAAAAAAATAGCTGGGCTTAGTGGTGCAGACCTGTGGTCACAGCTACTCAGGAATTCAGCGTTACAGTGAGCTATCGCTTGTATTCCAGCCTGGATGACAAAGTAAAGCCCTGTCTTAAAATAAGATACCACCAGGAACCCAGAGGGTTGTGCCTCCTGGGTTCAAGTGATTCCCCTGACTCAGCCTCCCAAGTAGCTGGGACTACAGGTGCACACCACCATACCTTGCTAATTATTGTATTTTTAGTAGAGACATGGTTTCACCGTGTTGGCCAGGCTGGTCTTAAATATCTGGCTAATTGTATTTTTAGTAGAGACGTGGTTTCACTGTGTTGGCCAGGCTAGTCTTAAATTCCTGACCTCAGGTGATCTACCACGCCTGGCCAGAAGAATACTTTTAAAATTAGAGACAGTTGTTTTATGGAGATATAATTTACATTAAAAAACCCATAGATTTTAAGTATGTGTATGTATATATACACACACATATATCTATGCACACACATAGAATCCGACTCTGTGATCAAGGTATACAATGTTATTCTTACCTCACAGTTCCCTTATTTCCAGTCAACTCTGCCCTTTCCTCCAGAGTCAGAGCACTATTTGGATTTTTTTTGTTACTTAGTTTTCCTCATCCTAGAACTGATGAAAACATACAGTAGGTGTGTGCTGGGGTGTGATTTTAACAAACTACTACATGGAAGACTGAAAATACAGATCAGACCATTGTATCAAATAACCTGGACATTCATTCCTTTAAAAAAAACTTTGTCCCCAGTCCCTAAAGAGTGTTGGTTCTGAAGGAAGCAGTGTTCTAGCAGAATCCTATTCCACTCCTTGGACTTCGTTGGTAAAGGAGCAGACCTTATGAAAGGGCCACTCCCTTTAGGTGATTGCTCTGTGGATATAGCCCCATGTATCCCACTTTTTTCCACCACAGGAAAGTAAAACAGATAGGATTGAACCCTAATTAGAAAATGTAGATGTTTGTTAGCCTTCAGAATTAGAATTTTTGGTAGCCAGGTGTGGTGGTTCACACCTGTAATCCCAGCACTTTGGGAGGCTGAGGTGCGTGGCTCACTTAAGGAGTTGAAGACCAGTCTGGCCAACATGGTGAAACCCCATGTCTATTAAAAATCCAAAAATTAGCCAGGTGTGGTGGTGCCTGGCTGTAGTCCCAGCTACTCAACCCGGGAGGTGGAGGTTGCTATGAGCCGATATCATGCCACTGCATTCCAGCCTGGGCAACAGAGACTCCCTAAAAAAAATTTTTTTTATACTAGGGTTTTCTCCTGTATTTTGATCATTTTGTTTTTACTACGAAAGGGGATCTGGGACATTTCTTTGGCGTTTGTAACATTGTGCTCCTTGCCCTAATTGAATCAGGTCCTGGACCCAAGCCAGAAGCCTCTGCAAAGCTTCCTTCCAGACCTGTGGATCACTATGACAACTTTGTCCTACCAGAATTGCCGTCTGTGCCAGACACACTACCAACTGCGTCTGCTGGTGCCAGCACCTCAGCCTCTGAAGACATTGACTTTGATGATCTTTCCCGGAGGTTTGAAGAGCTGAAAAAGAAAACATAGGTCTCTTAAACCAGGCAACTTTCACATTTTGGGAGTTGAGACTGAGCAATCTCTCTCCTTGTAACAAAGAATCTCCATGAAATTCCGTTTCATCTGTTAACGTCACTGAGCACAACACTCCTCCTCTGGGTTCTCTTCCTGCTCCTCCAGATTCTGCTGCTTTCCAGTTCTCTGTTGATTCTAACAACTGGAGACTGAGGCCGGAGCAGCTGGCTCCTGGCAGCTGTGCTTGTAGGTTTCAGAGTGATCCCAGGTTTCTTCCTGGCCCGTCCCACGGTCCCTCCACGGGAGCATGAGAGGATGGGAAGCACTGTGGAGAGACCACCAAAGATGGCTGGACAGTGGGAGAGAGCACCTCATGAAACGTCCCAGCCTCGTGTTGAGGTTCCAGACTTAGAAACAAACCCCTCTGTACAGGGGGACTGTGGTGAGTGAGAATCAAGGCCACGGTGTGTGTTTTCTCACACTCTAATGCAACTGGGAGAGAGAAAATGACTCAGGACGCCATTGTAACGGTTCCTGGAAGCTGGGCCCTCTCATTGGCATATACACTACTCCTCGCCACAGGGCACTGTCCCACCAGGATCCAGTTGCAAAGTTTGTCTCAACAATTGAAGGCCTCGCTTAGTTGTACTGGATTCTCAGGGAGCCCTCTGTGGCCTTTTGCTTTGAGTGCTGTATTTCCCTTTTACCAGAGGGCAGCACTGTGGAAATTCCTGTTTTTCCCATAGCATATTCTGTTGGATTACATTACTGGTAAAGAAAGGACAGGCTGCCATTCAAGTCTAGGGTAGGCTTCCAGCTGCCTTAATAGAAGTACTCAAGTCTTTTGGGTAGTGAGCTGGAAAGCCTACAGGAAAAGAGGGGTACCTGTTTTCATTTGAAAACTAATTCATGGAACCTTTAAAGTTAATCTCAGATAAATTTTTGGTGTCCATGCAGCTGTAGTTGTTCACTGCTTTCCTGGATGGGATTCTCATGTTGTAACTTCTGTACTCCTTTGGCTCATAGCTAAGGCCATTCTTCCCCACAGGGGTGGCTTTGGGATTGGATATGGCTTTCGCTTCTGTGTAGTATACCTGTACATACCTGTTTCAAGCAGCCTTTCTTTAATGTTTTCAGTTGGTTTGTATTCTGTAGCTCAGTAGCTGCTAATAAAGATCCTGTGTCCTGCTTTCTCTGTTTGCTCAGATGATGTAGAAAGCTGGAGTTCAGTGGAGAATATTTTAACCAAGTGATGCATGTTAACCAGGCCTTAACTTCAGGATTCCTGGAGCAGTGCAGGGCTCATTTTGGTCTCTGTATTTAGATAGCCCAGATAGCATCTGTGAATTTGGTCCTCCTCAGTGACAGGGCTCTGCATCTGCCATGCCTCATCCTTGTATATTTATTTTTAGTAAGTTGCAGTGAGCTCACTTCTGACTCCTCCGTTTCCCAATCCGTCCTGGGCCATGGGTGGTGAGTGTTCTGTTACTTGGTGCTTGGCAGCTGAGCTGGTTTGTCTGGTAGTATTCTTACGGTGTTAATCCTATCTTGACAGTGCCAAGATCCGTAAGAACTTGGGACCAAGGGTATTCCAATTTCTCACTAACTTACAGAATTAAAAACAAAGTATATTACTATTGTAAAGTCATGCCATGCAACGATAAGTAGTAATATGCTAAGAAATACTAAGCCAAGTAGGAGAAAACAGGATTAAGGTAGTTCGTCTTCTAAAACTTCAGCGTCAATGCCCATTGATGTCGTAGCTGCTTGCTCAGATGACGTTTTTTGGGGCTGACGGATTCCTAACAAATTTGAGAGCTTCAGTAGCAGCATATCTATTAGTGCAACTTGTCTCTGAGTGTTTGAAGACAAAAAGAGAAATGTGAGAAAACAAATTACTAATACCGGAGTAAAAATGTACCAAAGATTTTTTAAAAATTAGTTAATGTATAGTAAAGATACTATTTCTTTAATAATTTACAGTCAGGCATTGGAGTGTTTCCACTGTCTAATTAATGGCTGAGACCCAGCTATTTATAGGACAGTGGCTATGGAACATTGCACAGTCTTATAAATTGGGTTTCCTAGGAATATAGCTGGCAGAGCTTCTGAAATAAAAGTAATATGATTCTGTGCATTATAAATAAAGTCTAAGGGGCAATTACAGTGGAGTTTTCCCAGTGATATAACAGCATGCTAGTTTATCTTTTAGTTACCTACCTTAAGTGACTTTCTTTCTTTTCCAAAGGCCATTAGAATGGCAGAAACAAAAAGATTAATTACCACAAGTACCAACAAGATAACACTGGTGAGGACCAGAAAGGTGCCCAGGACTGGGTCTAAAGCGATAACCTGGGAAGACAATAACACTTGCAGTGACTGACCGTTTAGTTTCAACTTTACAAACAAGCTATATGCTAAAGTTTGGGATCTTTTCAGAAGAAAAGCTTATCTGATGAAAACATAGGGAGAGAGGCAAAAAGATAGAATTTTTTTTTTTTTTTTTTTTTTTTAGATGGAGTCTGTTGCCCAGGTTGGAGTGCAGTGGTGTGATCTCAGCTCACTGCAACCTCCGCTTCCTGAGTTCAAGAGATTCTCCTGCCTCAGCCTCCCAAGTAGCTGGGATTACAGGCGCGTGCCACCACACCCGTCTGATTTTTAGTAGAGACAGGGTTTTACCACATTAGACTAGTCTCGAACTCCTGACCTAGTGATCCACCCGCCTCAGCTCCCAAAGTGCTGAGATTACAGGCATGAGCCACCACACCCAGGAGAAAATACTTATAAACAAACAGAGGAGCAGGAATGACTGATTTTAAGGAGATAAGATAATTTTGACTTCAGGGCTTTCACAAGAAGAGAACAGGTGAGTTGCAGTGGACTTGGAAATGATTCAAATGTCACATCAGTTTTGGCAATTCCAGAAAATACATCTAATCATTGAATTTAAAAAGGGTTACGTACACTGAAAGAATAAATGCATACCAGAAGTGAGAATGCAAACTGTCTCTGCCATATCAAGAAACCGCAACTCTAACAGGAGCATTCCAATAAAAGTTAATAGGTTGGCCACAGAAAACTGGCTTTTTGGTACTTTTTTTTCCCATTGTCATTTTTAAAGGTGTAAGTACTGAGTTCTGTCATTCTTTAGTTTTCTGCATAAATAAACATCAAGTTCTGGGCTTACTAGAATGGTTGCCATAACAAAATTTTTAAAAATTCAGGTGTTCTTTATCAACAAATGGTATTTATTTTCCCTTGGTACTGGCCCATTCACTGTTGCCACTAGGGCACTGTTTATGATAATCAGCCCCTTTCAGGATATTTTTAAACACTCTTCTGATGGAACTCTTTATGACAAAATATTTTCAAGCACCAAACTGTTACCCACATAAAAATGCTTATAAAAATTTCAGGTCAACCAGATAATGTGGGCAATCTCTTGAGTTTGTGATATAAGACTTTTTTCCAATAAGTTTATTTTTATGGTGTACAATTACTTAAAAGCAGAAAAGTTGTTTTTTTTCCCCAATCAAAAAGCAGGTATCAGCAAAAGTTTGTTATTCTGATTGCGACTTCCTTCACTGCTTTGGATACAAAGTGCTCCAGTGGTGAAGGCTCATCCCCTAGTTATTGGAGCTAGGACCACAACAGAACGGCCCAGTCAGTGAAAATAGCAGTTACAGTTGTCTGTCAGTATCTGAGAGACATTGGCTCCAGGGCCTCCACAGGTACCAAAATTTGAGGATGCTTAAGTCCCTTATTCTTATTTTTTATGTATTGCAAGCTTCCCTAAAGGTTAAGAAAGTGTTCCCCTCACCCAATCCTTTAAAAAAATTTTTTTTAGAGGCAGAGTCTCCCTGTGTCACCCAGGCTGGAGTACAGTGGTACGATCTCGGCTTACTGCAACCTCCACCTCCCAGGGTCAACCAGTTCTCCTGCCTCAGCCTCCTGAGTGGCTGGGATTACAGGTTCCCACCACCATGCCCAGCTAATTTTTATATTTTAGTAGAGATGGGGTTTCACCATTTTGGCCAGGCTGGTCTTGAATTCCAGTGATCTGCCCCGCCTTGGCCTCCCAAAGTGCTGGGATTACAGGTATAAGCCACTGTGCCTGGCTTAGAAAGTCCCTTTTTAAAAATGACACAGTATTTGCATAAACTCTATATACATCTCTCCTGTACTTTAGATTACCTCTAGTAGCTAATGCAGTGTAAATGCTACATAGAATAGTTATACCGGTTTGTGGTTTTTTTGTTTGTTTTGTGGGAGACGGTCTCGCTCAGAGAGCAGTAGCACGATCATAGCTCACTGCAGCCTCACTCCTGGGCTAGCCTCCTGAGTGGCTGAGACTATAGAGTGTCCCACCACACTTGGCTAATTTTTATTTTTTATTTTTTGTAGAGACAAAGTCTTACTATGTTGCCCAGGCTGGTCTCAAATTCTTGGCCTTATGCAGTCCTCCCCCTCGGCCCCTCACGGCTTGAGCTAACTCACCCTGCCCTGTTAATGCACTTTAAAAAGGCCATCGAGAAACACCGAATCATGTTAATCTGGCCAAGCACAACAGCACAAGGTTCGGCCCAGTGTTTTTTGCTAATAAGGACACAAGAAGTGAGGAAGGAAGGACTAAGTGCTTAGGAAAGGGCAGATTTCTGAAAGCAAAAGCCATGTATACACTGTATGTGTAGGCAGTACCATGAAGCAAAAGAGCAAAGGACTGAAATTTCCCACCTTTCCAGTGTGCAGTGTACAGTAGGGCGCTGTTTTCATAAGGAGCACCCCCCCCAACTCTCCTTGTTCAATATATTAATAGAATTCTGTGGAGAAACTAATTTTTTTTTTTTTTTTTTACCTCCTCTTGGTGAGAAATTCCTGTCAGGAGACCAACAACAGTCACTGCTGAGCTGAAAAATGTCCGGTAGTCAGAGACGCTGCATCCAAACAGCAGGTTAAACTGAACAGAAGGGGAAAGGCCTGTTAGCGTGAGGGAGCACCCATCTTTCTGTCCTGAGGTGTGTTAGTGTGAGGGAGCACCCATCTTTCTGTCCTGAGGTGCTTGGCGATATAGCCAGTATTTAACCAAAGGAATGGCAAGAAAAATTCCTTGTGGCCAAATTACACCCCAAAGAATACATAAACTTTCTTTGTAATAACACAGTGGTTTTTTTTGGTTTGTTTTTTTTGAAATGGAGTCTCGCCCTGTCGCCAGCCTGGATTGCAGTGGTCTGATCTTGGCTCACTGCAACCTCTGCCTCCCAGGTTTAAGCGATTCCCCTGCCTCAGCCTCCTGTGTAGCTGGGACTATCGGCTGGTGCTACCACACCCAGCTAATTTTTGTATTTTTAGTAGAGACAAGGTTTCACTGTGTTGGCCAGGATGGTCTCGATTTCCTGACCTTGTGATCCACCCAAAGTGCTGGGATTACAGGCATGAGCCACCATGCTGGGCCTAACATAGTGGTTTCACATAAATTTATTTGACCTTTATATTACTTTGTGAGCTAAGTTTTATCCCCATTTTAGAGACAAACCTGTGGGTTTAAATTATACTAGTTAAGTATGGAACTAGAACTAAACCCGGCTTTCTTACTCTGCCACCTCAGATTTCTGTGTCGTAACCATTTCTATGGAAAGTGATAAAACAACCACAGTGGGCCTGGCGAGGTGGCTCACACCTGTAATCACAGCACTTTGGGAGGCTGAGGTGGGTGGATCGAGATCAGCGTGGCCAACGTGGTAAAACCCCTCTACAAAAAAAAAAGTTGGGTGTGGTGGCACACGCCTGTGGTCCCAGCTACTGTGGAGGCTGAGGCAAGAGAATCACTGGAACTCAGGAGGTGGAGGTTTCAGTGAGCCACGATCACGCCACTGCACTCCAGCCTGGGCAACAGAGCAAGACTCCATCTCCAAAAAAAAAAAAAAAAAAAAAAGGACCACAGCCCATACGGAAGGAGAGACAGCAATGTGGGGGCTTACGGCAATGGCATAGCCTGTCAGCAGGATCAGGATGATCAGCAGAAAGCCTGACACCTCGTCCCAGGCTCGGCTCAGTGTCCTGCTGATGACCCACAGCCTGGGGCTATGACGCAGCAAGCTCCATAACTGAACAGTTGCCAGCAGAACCAGGAAGCCCACGAGATGGGTTGCAGCAGAGTTCACTTTTACCGCCTCATAGAAGCTGATGAACCTGCACCAAAGAAAGCTGACAGTTACTGAGCAAGAAGACTCTGCGCCTGTACCACAGTCACAGTTTCCCCAGTGCCCCTCCTGCTGAGCGCAGCAGCCCTGAGTCCTATGAGATGGAATGCTGGTTGATATGACAACTGCTTTCTAGTGTGGTCTCCTGTGAGTTGTGGATATGGGAATAACAAAAGGCCATGTATTATTCAAATGATCTGCCTGCTGCAGATGGCACTGGGAGCTGTGCTGAAGAAACCTTAAAATGTGACCTCTAGCTGATTTTTTAAAATTCATCCTGGGAAGCAAAACCAGCCTCCTGCACTGCTCTGAGCCAAATCTCTCCTCTCAAAAGGAGATTAACTTAACCCAGAGAGAGGAGCCTGCTGGTCTGTTTTCTGCGGCACACTAATCCTGTGTTGTTCTCTGGCAGTACAGGATTGATGTAATAGGTTTGATAATGCTTAGAACAAAATGATGGACGGTAGACTAGAGGCGAGGGGTGTTGCTCAACAATTAGGTTTTCTTTTATGAGACATACATTCATAATTTTAGGTTGCAGCAACCAGGTGACTTGGAAGGACCCCCACAGACACTAGCAAGCGGTGCTCTGCACAGACACAGTCCCTGCATAAACTACTCTCCAGAACGCCTACTTGAAACAGTGCCTCAGGAAAAGTCACACAGATCACTGCCCAGGCTGTTGAAAAGCTTAGCAAAGCGTCACTTGGCAACACTTACTGTGGGAAACACATAGATGTTCCTCTCCATGGGAAAAACCAGAGAAGGCACCCAAAGGGGCGCCAAACATCTCTTGGTATGGATGAGTGAATAGATGAAATCCCTACCCAGAAAGCAACTCCCTTTGAATTTAAAGGATGGACTACGTGTTGTGCTTTCATTTAAAGGATTATTTGTCATGCATCAGGCTTTATGCCTTTGCCAGAATGCAAAATAATGACCAATTCCAGGCCTTTATGAAACTTAAATGTATTATCCCTAAGCACTAATGAAGGCAGAAGAGCTCTTCAATGTGACTAGCAGTTAAATGGTTTCTAGTTCATTGTGTTCATTTTTTCAGACAGTTTTGCTTTTGTTGCCCAAGCTGGAGTGCAATGGCATGATCCTGGCTCACTGCAACCTCTGCCCCCCAGATTCAAGTGATTCTCCTGCTTCAGCATCCCGAGTAGCTGGGACTACAGGCATCTGCCACCATGCCCAGCATAGAGATGGGGTTTCTCCACATTGGTCAGGCTGGTCCAACTTCTGACTTCAGGTGATTTACCCGCCTTGGCTTCCCAAAGTGCTGGGATTACAGGTGTCAGCCACTACGCCCAGCCTAGTTCATTGTTTTCCCTGCTGTGGACATGAATCCAAGTTCTGTTTTAACTCTGATATTATACAAATACAGATCTGGTAGACCAGTGAAGGAAGGGGAGTTTAAAAGAATACTTGTGTATAACCTGGAAACTTTAGAAATGAGGTAGGAGTATCCTGTGCCCCTCAGGCTTCCTCTTACCTGTCCCGGTCATGGCGGTATTGTTCCATGTTTTTCTTATGTAGAGAAATACTCTTCATGTCAAGCCCCAGGATGATGAAGCTAATGAGGATTATACTTGTGTCCAGAATGTTTCTTTTCCTGGTGAAGAACCTCCACTTCTGCCGTTTTAGCCGACAACCCTAAACACAGACAGCAAGGTCACCATTACTGGTCTAAGAGATGAGCTAGGTTGCTCCTTGCTCCAGTGTAACAAGCGCAGCTGATGTCTATGGGCAAAGCACACTGTGAGGCATTTATCAGCTCTCACCTAGACAAACGAGTTATGGTCTTAGTTCAGCTCTGTAGTCATTCAGAAATGCCACTTACAGAAAAGTTGGCTTCTAATACAACTTCCACTGAATACATTTATTCTTTTTCTTGGAGATCATAAGCCTGTCACTTAAAAATAAATAATACAAGTTTCTGGGGCCTGGCACGGTGGCTCACGCCTGTAATCCCAGCACTTTGGGAGGCCGAGGCGGGTGGATCACGAGGTCAAGAGATCGAGATCATCCTGGTCAACACGGTGAAACCCCGTCTCTACTAAAAATACAAAAAATCAGCTGGGCATGGTGGCGCGTGCCTATAATCCCAGCTACTCAGGAGGCTGAGGCAGGAGAATTGCCTGAACCCAGGAGGCGGAGGTTGCGGTGAGCCGAGATTGCGCCATTGCACTCCAGCCTGGGTAACAAGAGCGAAACTCCGTCTCAAAAAAAAAACAAACAAAAACAACAAAAAAAAACCAAGTTTCTTTCTTTGAGACAGGGTCTTGCTTTGTGGCCCAGGCTGGAGTGCAGTGGTGTGATCATAGCTCACTGCAGGCTCAACCTCTCAGGCTCAGGCTCAGGCTCAAGCAATCCTCCTACCTCAGCCTCCCGAGTAGCTGGGACCACAGGCACATGCCACCATGCCCAGCCAAGTTTTGTATTTTTTTGTAGAGACAGTGTTTTGACATTTTGCCCAGACTAGTCTCGAACTCCTGGCTTGAAGTGATCTGCCCACTTCAGCCTCCCAAAGTGCTGGGATTACAGGCATGAGCCACCATGGCCAGCAGAAGTTTCTAAACTAGTTATTAAGCATGAGACTGAAGAAAAAAATACTATGTTTGGCTTAAGATATAAATATATTTTCTTGTGAGTGTAATCTTTTTTTTTTTTTTTGAGACGGAGTTTCCCTTTTGTCACCCAGGCTGGAGTACAGTGGCACCATCTGGGCTCACTGCAACCTCCACCCCTAAGGTTCAAGCAATTCTCCTGCCTCAGCCTACTGAGTAGGTGGGACTTCAGGAGCCCACCACCACACCCAGCTGATTTTTGTATTTTTAGTAGAGATGGGGTTTCGCCATGTTGGCCAGGCTGGTCCTGAACTCCTGACCTCAGTTGATCCACCCGCCTCAGCCTCCCAATGTGCTGGGATTACAGATGTGAGCCATTATGCTCAGCCAATCATTTGTATTTTTGAGTGCTTGCCGTTTGTTCATCATAATTGCTTGATATTACTTTATATAGGGCTAATAAAACTATAAAAGTACTATTTCTACAGACTAAATTCTTTAGCACCTGAAATTTGAAAGAGCTAATCTATTTGGTGGAAAACCAGTCAGCCTTTAACTGAATTCAAGTTTCTGAAAAGGACCAAAATCATCACCATAATTCTAGTAACAGGTCATTGTGGAGCTCCCCAAATAAAATGTGGCAACCTTTATTTCTCACATCTAACATCATCATCATCATCATCATCATTTTTGAGACAGGGTCTTGCTCTGTGGCCCAGGCTAAAGTACAGTGGCGTGATCTTGGCTCACTGCAACCTCTGCCTCCTAAGCTCAAGTGATTGTCCCATGTCAGCCTCCGAAGTAGCTGGGACCACAGGTGTGTACCACCACACCTGGGTAATTTTTGTAATTTGGTAAAGACAAGGTTTTGCCACATTGCCCAGGCTGACATCTAACATTACTGACTCACCTGTATGAAGGCATAGTAACAGATCAGTAGATAATAGATGACTTGTGAGATGACAGACCAGACAAAGCCCTTCTTTGACATCTGAAGGGAAGTGAAGCTTTCCAGTCTCACAGAGGTGAAGAAAGCACCTGAGAATAACAAAGAACATCTGGAGTCAAGCGTCTAAAACGTTTGCCCTCTTGTCATTACACTTGTATTTGAATAACCCCAACTCTTCCTATATCATCAATTCAAATGTTTCTGAGTTCAATGCTCCACTTAGTATTTCCTTTAGAGCTGTTATGAACATTAAATGAGATCATATATGCAAAACTACTGGAGAAATACCGGTTTCACAAAAGTCAGTAGCAGGAAAGGATATGCTGTTGATCCTGCCTTGCAAGGGAGGTGTCGGTGGCTTAACACTTGTTATAGATGTCATCCTAACCCAGTCGGAATGGCTGTAGAGAAGTCTAAAGCACAGAGATAGCCCATGACTACCGATAGTATCCCATGGATACTCAGTCATTTACATAAGGATGGACTAAAAGGCTTCAGCCTCCACGTGGAAGGACAGTGAAAAGATTCAAATTTATAAAATCATGAAAGGTCTTATGAATGTAAACTTTCATAAAGCTTCAAAATATTAGTGATGCAGCAGCAGGCTGTCTGGAGTGGCTGCTGCCATGACAGCTGCTGCAGTGGGGGAGGCGTGGCCAGGGCTGTGTGCTCCATTGAGCTGCAGGAGCCAGTAACTGGTGGGAGACCTGCCCCCTTCTGAGCTGGAGGGTTGGGAGCCCCACCCTCCTGGGTGCAGTTGTAGCTGCCCAGCCATGGCTGCAGACTGGCCATCCCTGCTCCCACTGCATGGCCCCTCCCCACTCCCCTCATCTGCTCTGATTTTGGAGCAAAGTTTTGGCAGAGCCTCAGGATTACCAAGACCCAGACGGGTGTGTGCGCGCTTGGGGCAGTGCTAACACACAGCCCCCTACTGTCTCAGCCCTCTCTGAACTTTGGGCACTGACAAGCATGAGAGGGAGGGTGGGCAAGGTGGGGGGCGAAGGGCAGCTTGGCATGGGCCTGCAGGTGCCCCTTGGCACAGACAGCCTGGGGACCATGGGTGACATGGATGCTGGCAGGAAGCAGACAGGCTCCTGAGTGGAAAGGGGCAGGTCCCCAGTACAGCCCCACCTTCAAGCCAGGGGGCCTGGCTGCCAGTTCAGGAACCTGGCACTTTCACCAACTGGAGTGAGAACTTAAGACACTTTGTGGGTCCACTCATGGCTGCACATTGACCAATGAGCACACGCTCCCTTCTGAAGCCCATAAAAATTCCGGACTCAGCCAGACTTGGGCGGACAGCAGATAGGAGCTACCCATTCCAGTCTCCTGAAAACTGTTTTGGCACTCAGTGAAGCTCCCCTCCACCTCTCTCACCCTCCAGTTGTCTGTGTACCTCATTCTTCCTGGATGCAGGACAAAAACCCGGGACCCGCCAAGTGGTGGGACTGAGAAAGCATAGCACCAACAGGGCTGAAACACACCCCTCGCGGGCCATGTTGCAGGCAATGAGAAGGAGAGAAGAGCTGCAGCCCTTTGGGGAAGCCCAGACCCATGGGCTCCCTGAGCCAGGGCTGTGACACCCTCTTTGGGCCTCTGTGGTTCTTGGCATCTCCAAACTTCTGGCCACCATGGTGTTTCTCTCATTCGGAGGTGGGTACCCACAGTGGAAACCATGTGCAGCACATGTGGTCCAACTGTAGCCTCGCAGGGAGCTGGCACCTGTGCCAGCACATAGAGATGCTCACCTCTCTGCAGCAGCCAGCATGCGGGGCTGTGTGCAGTGGCTGGACCCCATGATTGCTCACCCATATATCCCTTTGCTGCTCTGTGCCTGGGTCTCCCTTGGCAGGTGTGGGATCCAGGCCGGTAGCATGAGTCAAGTGCAGCCTGCCAGGCCAAGTGGGCAGAAGGAGCCCAGTGGATGCAAGCAATACTCAGGCAGAAGGTGCTGCTGGCCACAGAAGTTTCTGGATGGCAAATCCACACCCTAAGGATGCCATGACATTAAAACTCAGATGTACCTCTTGTAGGTAGAAAAGACATTTAAGAACAAAAGGAATTCCTATTTCACCTACCTAGCTCTCAAGACTTAATCCCTGTCTCTTTTTTGATAGTAACCAACAATAAAAACCCCGTGAAGACCCTCAGGAAACCTTTATGGTTCATTAGAAACAAGTATAAGAGAAGTGGTCTACTCTGCAGGTCTGAGAGGAGAAAAATTCCTGATTAGGAGAAAGATGTGCCAGAAAATGGAAGGATACTTGTGAACCAATTCTGGGAGAAAGAAGAAAGAGGAGAAAGCAGTTGGATTAGGACAGACTTCCTGTTAAAGGGAGGGAAACTGAATGGACCAGTTTACCTCCAATCCCTGACAAAATGCTGCTATAATGAAAGTGAAGGGATGAAGTAAAAACTTCAAAAGATGACGAAAAGGAGGGCAGAGGAGGGCAACAAAGTGTTAGAAGCTGAACAGTAGAGGAATCACACTGACTTAGCAAGTTCAAGAAAGCTGAAACCTAAGCAGCGGTACAGGAAACCGGAAGCAAACCAGTTCTAACCACCAAACCCTGGAAAGCCTCAGACATTGCAAGCATCTGCTATTTCTGAAGTTACACGTTCAGTTGGAACTGAAAATAGCATCAACTGAAAGTCTGTATATATATATAAAACAATTAGATTCCAAATTTCCTCCCTTAACCATTCACAACCAGGGATTTGCTACCCATCTTGCCTTCCACCACCCCATGACTAAAAGTTTGTTTCCAAGTGATGCTGAAGGAGAGGATCTGGACTTGGGGACACAAGCTACATGTGAGAGTAACAGTTTACTGGAAAAGGGGATTAAGGGAAAGTTTACATACCGCATGGTGAGATGCTTCCCAGATCCCTTCCCTCAACTCACTCTGAGAACTATAATAGGCTCATATCCTCAAGGTAGGAGTTTGGAGGGTCTCTAAAAAGTGCCCAAAAAGAGAGACATAGATAACAGTCTTTTTTTTTTTTTTTTTTTTTTTTTTGAGACAGAGTCTCACTCTGTCCCCCAGGCTGGAGTGCAGTGGCATGATCTCAGCTCACTGTAACCTCTGCCTCCTGAGTTCAAGCAATTCTCCTGTCTCAGCCTCCTGAGTAGCTGGGATTACAGGTGTGTGCCACCATGCCTGGCTAACTTTTGTATTTTTAGTAGAGACGGAGTTTTGCCATGTTGGCCAGGCTGTTCTCCAACTCCTGACTTCAGGTGATCCGCCTGCCTTGGCCTCCCAAAGTGCTGGGATTATAGGTATGAGCCACTGCGCCCAGCTGGGCACAGAGTTTATAATTAGCATTTATTTTCTTTTTATTACTTTTTTTTTTTTTTTTTTTTTTTTTGGATACAGGGTCTGACTCTGACCCAGGCTGGAGTGCACTGGTACGATCTTGGCTCACTACAACCTCTGCCTCACAGGCTCAAACCATCCTGCCATCTCAGCCTCCCAAGTAGCTGGACCACAAGTGCACACCACCATGCCAGGCTAATTTTTGTATTTTTGATAGAGACAGGTTTCACCATGTTGCCCAGGCTGATCTGAAACTCCTGGGCTGAAGTGATCTTCCTTCCATGGCCTCCCAAACTTCTGGGATTATATGTGTGAACCACCACACCCAGCCTGCCTTTCTTCAAAAGGACAGCCAGGTACTTGAACCTCCAATGTTGAAAACTGTAGATGAAAACAAACAACAAACCAAAAAAGAAGTTCAGAGGAACTAGAGACAGTAAAGGATAAGAAAAAAAACCACCATAATATCCTCCAAGTTAAGAGAAGCTATTGGATCCATAAAAGAATAAGAGACTATGAAAAAAAAATGAGAATAATAATTTTGGAAATATTAAAGAAAAAACAAATAGTTTACAAGATAAAAATTAAAGTAATACTGCAGATATTAGACGAAAAAGATGGAAAACAGAAGCAAAAATATAAGAAAATGACAACATCACTCCAGGAGTTCCAACTTCAAAATGCTAGAAAATCAGAAAAAGTGACGAGAGAAAATGAAGAAAGAAATTAAAGAAAATTGCAAGAAAATTTGTCAGGACTTAAGGACACAAGTTTCCAGATAATAGGGCTTGCTATGACATTCTTTCCTAACCCAGAGGACAAAGAAAAAAATCTAAAAACTTTTGGGGTTGGGGACCAGGAATCGGAATGACAGCGTAATAGTTTTTAACAGTACCATGGGCCGGGCGCGGTGGCTCAAGCCTGTAATCCCAGCACTTTGGGAGGCCGAGGCGGGTGGATCACGAGGTCAAGAGATCGAGACCATCCTGGTCAACATGGTGAAACCCCGTCTCTACTAAAAATACAAAAAATTAGCTGGGCATGGTGGCGCGTGCCTGTAATCCCAGCTACTCAGGAGGCTGGGGCAGGAGAATTGCCTGAACCCAGGAGGCGGAGGTTGCGGTGAGCCGAGATTGCGCCATTGCACTCCAGCCTGGGTAACAAGAGCGAAACTCCGTCTCAAAAAAAAAAAAAAAAAAAACAGTACCATGAAAAGCTAGAAAACAATGGACCTATACTTTTCAAAATGCTGGCTGGGTGTGGCAGCTCACACCTTTAATCCCAGCACTTTGGGAGGCCAAGGTGGGTGGATCACATGAGGTCAGAAGTTTAAGACCAGCCTGGCCAACATGGCGAAACCCCGTAAAATAGGTAAATATGTAAATTGTAAAAATACAAAAATTAGCCAGGCATGGTGGCGGGCACCTGTAATCCCAGCTACTCGGGAGGGTGAAGCAGGGAGAATCGCTTGAACCCGGGAGGCAGAGGCTGCAGTGAGGTGAGATCGCTCCACTGCACTCCAGCCTGGGAGTCAGAGCAAGACTCCATCTCAAAACAAACAACAAAACGCCAAAATTCTGCAATAAAGAAATTATATACAGATAAATTAGCAATCTAATGTGATGGCAGAATAAAAACATTTTTGGATATGTACGTCTCCAACAAATTTACCTCCCTTGCCCTCTTCCAGGAAGTTAGTGGAGGATGTGCTCTAGCAAAAAGAACAAGTGAGGCAAGAAAGGAAGACATGGAATCCAGAAGAAAGGGGATCCAGTAGAGGAGAGAGGTAAAGATAATCCCAGGGTGATGGTGAAGGGAGAGTCCTGGATGAGAGCTGTGAAGCAGCCTAGAGGATAACCCAGAGTGTATGACAGAGGGAGGTCTCCACGGAGGTGTCTCCAAGAAGATAAAATGAGAGTTTACATGATACTCTAAGAGCATTTCTACTTTTACGAAGAATTGGAGATGAATCAATGACAGACACACAGAAAACCTAACAAAGTTTTAAAAAATAAATTCTAGAGAAAACAAAAGGTCGTATAAGAAATGAAATTTAATCATAATATACTAATGTCTCATCACTGAAATGCATAATGGAAATAATATTAAACTAAATAAATTTTATTACTATATTGTGAGAATGAGGAAAGAAAAAAGATGTGTATGTGTTCAACATATATGTGGGTGTAAGAAAGCTAAATTCTAAATCTCAAATTTCAAGGCTGGGTGTGGTGGCTCCTGCCTGTAATCCCAGTACTTTGGGAGGCTGAGGGAGGTGGATCACCTGAGGTCAGGATTTCAAGACCAGCCTGGCCAACATGATGAAACCCCCATCTCTACTAAAATACAAAAATTAGCCAGGTGTGGTGGCAGGTGCCTGTAATCCCAGCTACTCAGGAGACTGAGGCAGGAGAATGGCTTGAACCCAGAAGGCAGAGGTTGCAGTGAGCCGAGATTATACCACTGCCCTCCACAGTGGATGAGCGAGACTCTGCCAAAAAAAAAAAAAAAAAAAAAAAAAAAAAAGCAGCAGCAGCAAACAAGCAAGCTAGCTAAATCCTCATCCTAACAAAGAAATAGATAACATACAAAACTGAAAATTTATAAAATAGACAATAACCATGTTAATAAATTTTACTGAAAGTAGCCTCCTCTGGGGAGTAGGAAGGAGGGAGGGATGAACTGAGGACTCCTGTTTTTCCCTTGAACCATCTGACTCTTAAAGTTATATTTATATATAATAATTGTAATTTTAAAAATATTTAACTTAATGGTATAAGATAGAGAAAGAAGCTGGGCCTTCTCCTGAGCTACCCAAGTGTCTTAGTACATTTTGTGTTGCTATAAAGGAGTGTCCAAGCCTTGGGTAATTTATAATGAAAAAAGGTTTCTTTGGCTCACAATTCTGATGGCTGGCAAGTTCAAAATTGGGCATCTGCATGATGAGGGCCTCAGGCTGCTGCCACTTATGGCAAAAGGTGAAGGGGAGACAGCCTATGCAGAGATCATATGGAACATGAGGAACCAAGAGAGGGGTCAGGGAAATGCCAAGCTCTTTTTAAACAACCAGGTTTCTTGGGAATTAATAGAATGACAACTCACTTACCCTCTAAGGGAGGGCATCAATCTATCCATGAAAGATCTGCCTCCCCAAGACCCAAACACCTCCCACCAGGCTTCACTTCCAATGCCGGGGATGGAATTTCAACATGAGGTTTAGTGGGGACAAACATCCAGGCCATAGCACAAATCACAGACAGAGGAGAGAAGAGGCCTTCATACCCACATCACTGGACTCCAGCATCAGGGTCACAATGCAGAACAGGTTCACATTAGCATTGAAGACCACGAATTCCACAAAGAGGCCTTTTGTGCATTGGTCTAGCCAATGCGTCTGTTCAAGATGCTGTAGAACTCTGGGTAAACAAAGGACAGGGTCAGCTGCTTTCTCCAATACTGCAAAGGAGGAGAATATCCTGATGTTTCCAACAACACTGTCATATACCAGGTAAGAAGTTACATTTCCAAATCTACTTCTATGAAATATTTTATGATTACTAAAGCCCAAACTTTCATTGGTATTAATATACATTTAGTAGACCACAACAATGAAAGTTTTTATAATAATATTCACAACAAGGTTAACCATTCAGGAAAACATATTTGGCATTTCAGTTCTGAAGTAGAATTTCATATGCTATGATAACTATTTCTACTTGAAGTATTAAAAGCTACTCCTTACTAACAGCTGTTCAGTTTTGGGAGGTAGAAGGAGTATAAATGTCACTATTTGGTTGGCACTGTTGTTTCTGAATAATGAATTCCTTGCTGTACATTTAAATGAAGAGGTAATTATTTTTAGACTTTTTTTCTCATGTAAAGACAGAGACTCTGAGAATAGTAAACCACTCTGAAAGTCTCAGGAAACTTAACTTCTGCATTTGAATTTTGGGTTTCTGTATTTTGGCTCATGACCAGCAATGTTTCCTTTATATGTGAAGATTACAGTTTGTCCAAGCTATGGTTACTTGAGTTTAACTCCAGCTAGGACTGAAACTGACAGGTATTTTTCCAGCTACAAAATGAATGTTGGCAAACTGCCAAACCAAAACATACCTGTAGTTTGAACTTGAGCAAGGAATTTTTAAACTAAAGGGTCTATTTCTTTAGAAGTCTAAAATAAAGGCTGGGCACGGCGGCTCACGGCTATAATCTCAGCACTTTGGGAGGCCACAGTGGGCGAATCAACTGAGGTTGGTAGTTTGAGACCAGCCTGACCAACACGGAGAAACCCCGTCTCTACTAAAAATACAAAATTAGCTGAGTGTGGTGGCGCACACCTGTAATACCAGCTACTTGGGAGGTGAGGCAGGAGAATCACCTGAACCTGGGAGGTGGAGCCAAGATAGCACCACTGCATTCAGCCTGGGCAACAATAGTGAAACTCCAGCTCAAAAAAAAAAAAAAAAAAAAGTCTAAAATTAAAAAAAAGTGTCCATAAGTTTTATAGACAGTAGCGTAGCTGTCAAAACAACTCAAATGGGTCTGAAATTCCTAACTGTCCTATGAATGCACTAAAGCAAATATTCTGGTCCTCTTGTTCAGGGCTGAGGATACTCACTGGGTTGCAGTACTGGAGTTTCTTCCAAGTTTCACAACGTATCCTCCTCCTGAGTAAGTGGCAAATTCCCCTTGAATAGGATAGCCACCCAGGGTCTCTTGATTCTGATAATGCCAAATGCTATCAGATTTGGTGATGTTTGTATTGAGGGCGCCCCAATTAACCCCATAGTTCTCTGTGTCCTCCTGATGTTGGTGAGATGGCTTCACTTGCTCCTGGGGAGATACTCCAGCTGGGAAGCGTCCAGCATCAGGAATACGAATCTGACGAAGCAGAACATTGCCCAAAAGAAAAGAGTTCCCATCAGCAATAAATCCTAATGAGAAAGTAAAAGAAACACTTTTGTTTACATGTTTTTAAAATCTTTTTTCCAGGACATCCAGAATGCAGAAAAAAGAAACAATGTAAAAAGTGCCACATTAGGTTAGTAATGAGAAAAAATGTACACTTTCACCATTAGGTTTGAAGACATTTTTGTAGGTTCTAAATAATACTATTAGGAAAGAAAAAGAAATAAGGATGGATATGGTACATCACACCTGTAATCCCAGCACTTTAGGAGGCCAAGGCAGGAGGATGGCTTGAAGCCAGGAGATCAAGACCAGCCTGGGCAACAAAGGGGGATCTGGTCTTTATTAAAAAAAATTTTTTTTTTTGCAGGGTGCAGTGGCTCACACCTGTAATCCTAGCACTTTGGGAGGCTGAGGTGGGCGGATCATGAAGTCAGGAGTTCAAGACCAACCTGGCCAAGATGGTGAAACTCCATCTCTACTAAAAATACAAAAATTAGCTGGGCATGGTGACGGGCACCTGTAATCCCAGCTACTTGGGAGGCTGAGGCAGAGAACTGCTTGAATCTGGGAGGTGGAGGTTGCAGTGAGCCAATATTGTACCACTGTACTTCAGCCTGGGCAACAGAGCAAGACTCTGTCTCAAAAAAAAAATTAATAAAAATGAGACAGATAATAAAGTGAAATTGTCACAATGTGTAAATGATATGTCTATCTAGATGTTAAGAGAATCAACTGAAAAACTGACCTTTAAATAATACATGTTTGACCTGCACGGGTACTCCTATATTTTCTTCCATCTCTGCTACCCCTGAGACACCAAGACCAACCCCTCTGTTTCACTCTCAGCCTGCTCCATGTGAAGATGATGAGGATACAGACCTTTACGAGGATACACTTCCACTTAATGAACAGTAAATTATTTTATCTTCCGTATGATTTTCTTAATATTTTCTTTTCTAACTTATTGTAAGAATACAGTATATAATACATATAACATACAAAATATGTTAATCAACTGTTATCAGTAAGGCTTCCAGTCAATAGTAGGCTATTAGTAGTTAAGCTTTTGAGGAGTCCAAAGTTACACATGGGCTGGGCACGGTGGCTCATGCCTGTAATCCCAGAATTTTGGGAGGCCACCATGGGTGGGTTATGAGGTCAGGAGTTTGAGACCAGCTTGACCAACATGGTGAAACCCTGTCTCTACTAAAAATATAAAAATTAATTGGGCGTGGTGGCGTGTGGCTGTAATCCCAGCTACTCAGGAGGCTGAGGCAGGAGAGTTGCTTGAACCTGGGAGGGGCAGGCTGCAGTGAGCTGAGATTATGCCACTGCACTCCAGCCTGGCGACGGAGTGAGACTTCTCAAAAAAAAAAAAAATTTATACATAAATTTTCATCTGCAGTGGGGCCAGTACCCCAAGCCCTGTGTTGTTCAAGGGCCAATTGTACTTAGAAAAAGAATTCAGCAAGGTGGCTGGATATGAAATAAACACAAAGAAATCAACAGTGTTCATATGGCCACACAGTATTTACCTAGATGGTATACAGAACTAAAACATTTTTTTTGAGACACAGTCTCCCTCTGTTGCCCAGGCTGAAATGCGGTGGCACGATCTTTGCTCACTGTAACTTCTGCCCTGAGTTCAAGTGATTCTCCTGCCTCAGCCTCCCAAGTAGCACATACTACAGGTGCCTGTCACCACACCCAACTATTTTTATTTATTTATTTTTTTAGTAGAGACAAGGTTTCACCATGTTGGCCAGGCTAGTCTCAAAGTTCTGACATCAGGTGATCTGCCCAACTTGGCCTCCCAAAGTGCTGAGGTTAAGGCATGAGCTGCCACACCTGGCCTAAAACATCTTACTTATAATAGTAACACAAAAGGAAAAATAAGCCTAACAAGAGATGTATACAAACTATATGGGGAACAATTCTGAATAGTACTGAGAGCTACAGATGAAGGTGAAAACAGACATAGAAGCATACCATACCCTCAGGTAGGAAGAATGTAATAAAAATATTAATTCCCTAAATTAATATTTATAGGTTCTTAGCCTGTATCTCTATAAAGATCTAGATCTTTATATACATTCTTAATATATAAAAAGCTCCTACAAATCAAAACGGGTAAACAGAACCACAGAGCCTGTTGAAAAATAGGCAAAGAATATGGGCAGATGCTTATTCATTCATTTTTTCAATCAGTATGTCTTGAGTGCTCAAAGGCACCATGTCCCGCCTAGGTACCCGGAATATACCAGTGGACCGTAAGAGAGTTTAGGCCACAGAGAGCCTGTATTTGAGGAGCGAGAGAGACAGGCAATAACCAAATAATATTCAGGTAATGATAAGAGCTACGAAGAAAAATTAAGCAGGGTAAGTGGATGAAGAGTGCTTTGGGGAGGAGCCATGCATTAGAGCAGCTTTCTCTGGAAGGTTGCGTAGGAGAGGCCCTAACACAGTTGGGGGCACGCAGTGCAAATATCAGCTGCCAGGAGAACAGCAAGTTCCAAGGCCGTGAGTGAGAGCAAGCTTGACATATTTAAGGAAAATACAGATGCTTGAGTGGCTGCAGTAGTGTGAACGGTCAGAGGAGTAAGAGATGAAGTAACAGGTACGACCAGGGGCCAAACTAGGCAGGCCCTTGTAAGCTTTGGAAAGGACTTGGGACTTTAAGCTTGATGGGAATCTACTGGGAGGTTTTGAACAGTGAAGTTACACAAATTTATGTCTTAAAAATAGAATACGGGAAGGATTGAATGAAAAAAGGCAAACGCATATGGTCAAGTCTTGCCCCTAATGAGAAGGGAAAAAGGGCATCGTAGTTTAGTTTGAACTTGGATTTCTCTGAGTACAGTTGCAAAGTCTTTCATGTATTTCAGGGACACCTGAATTGTTTGAAAACACCAATTTTCACCAGGCTGTCTGCTGGGGATGTGGGCAGGTGCTCTCATATACTGCTTCTTGGTTTTTTTGCTTTTTTTTTTTTTTTTTTGAGACAGAGTCTTGCTCTGTCACCCAGGCTGGAATGCAGGGCCATGATCTTGACTCACTGGAACCTCCGCCTCCCAGGTTCAAGCAATTCTCCTGCCTCAACTTCAAATATATATATATATATATACACACACACACACACACACACACACACACACACACACACACATATACATACATATATACATACATATGTATATATATATATATATATATATTTTTTTTTTTTTTTTTTTTTTTAGTAGAGATGGGGTTTCACCATGTTGATCTGGCTGGTCTGGAACTCCTGACCTCAAGTGATCCGCTGGCCTTGGCCTCCCAAAGTGCTGGGATTACAGATGTAACCCACTATGCCTGGCCATATATTGCTAATAGGAGTGTTTATTGGTACACTTAAGACAACCTGGCAATGTCTTTCTAAATTAAAAATGTGTATATACTTAGACTTAGAAAGTCCTTTCTAAGGTATTTATCTTTTGATATATTTGCACCTTTGTGGAATATAGTATGTACAAGGATATTAATGATATTCTTGCTAACAGTAAGACTGGAAATGATCTAAATATCTTTCAAAAGGGAGCTGGATATATAAATTATGCTATATCCACACAATGGAATACTATACAGTAAGTGAATAAAACATAATAGAGGCAGCTTCATATATGCCAATAGAACAAGCCCCAGGTAAGTTGTTAATGGAAAAAAGCAAAATGCATGAAAATTTTTTTCTTTTTTCTTTCTTTTTTTTTCTTTTTGAGACAGTCTTACTCTGTTGCCCAGGCTGGAATGCAGTGGCACGATCTCAGCTCACAGCAACCTCCACGTCCCCAGTTCAAGTGAGTTTCCTGCCTCAGTTTACCAAGTAGCTGGGAATACAGGCATGTGCTACCACGCATGGCTCATTTTTTGTATTTTTAGTAGAGATATGGTTTCATGCTGTTGGCCACGCTGGTCTCCAACTCCTGACCTCAGGTGATCTGCCCGCCTCAGCCTCCCAAAGTGTTGGGATTACAGGTGTGAGCCACTGCCCCTGGCCACATGACAATTTTTATAGTATGCTATCATTTATTGTCAAATATATTTGCAAATGCATACATTACCTTGGCGTGTTTTTTTTTTTTTTTTTTTTTGAGACAGACCCTCACTCTGTCACTTGGGCTGGAGTGAAGTGGTACCATCTCGACTGACTGCAACCTCAGCCTCCTGGGTTCAAGCAATTCTTCTGCCTCAGCCTCCCCAGTAGCTGGGATTACAGATGCCCACCACTATGCCCAGCTAATTTTTTTATTTTTGGTAGAGACGGAGTTTCACCATGTTGGCCAGGCTGGTCTTGAACTCATGACCTCGTGATATGCCTGCCTTGTTTCCAAAGTGCCAGGATTACACCCACAAAGTGAGTCACTCTATCCGGCCATTACCTCTGAAAGAATATATAATAAACTGGGAATGCAGCTGCTTCTTGAGAGAAGGGGGACTAAGGGACAAGGAAGAGTTGCACAATATACCCTTGTTGTCCACTTGGATTTTTCTTTTTTTTTTTTTTTGAGGAATGATCTCACTCTGTCACCCAGGATGGAGTGCAGTGGTGTGATCTTGGCTCACTGCAACCTCTGCCTCCCAGGCTCAAGCAATTCTCCCACCCCAGCCTCCCAAATAGCTGGGACCACAAGTGTGTGTTACCATGCCCAGCTAGTTTGTATATTTTTTGTAGAGATGGGGTTTTCATCATGTTGCCTAGGCTGAGTCTTAAATTCTGGGGCTCAAGTGATCCTCCTGCCTTGGCCTCCCAAAGTGCTGTGATTATAGGCATGAGCCACTGTGCCTGGCTAGGTTTTCTCCACTTTCATATTTTACTGATTTGCAAAACGATTCTTTTTAAAATTTTTCGATTTTTAAAAAACAGATACAAAGTCTCACTATGTTGTCCAGGCTGGTCTTTAACTCCTGGGCTCAAGGATTACAGGCATGGCCACTGTGCCCAGCCATGACACTACATACTACAGAGTCAAGGAGTACAAGAGAGACCACGCCTACCGTGACGGTGCAGACCACAGCCAGAGATCTAGGCACTATTTTTGTTTTTTTCTTTTTTGAGATGGAGTCTCGCTCTGTCGCCAGACTGGAGTGCAGTGGTGCGATCTTGGCTCACTGCAACCTCTGCTTCCCCGGTTTAAGCAATTCTCCTGCCTCAGCCTCCTGAGTAGCTGGGACTACAGGCGTGTGCCACCAAACCCAGCTAATTTTTTTTTTTTTTTTTTTAGTAGAGACGCAGTTCACCATGTTGGCCAGGATGGTCTCGATCTCTTGACCTCATGATCCACCCACCTCTGCGTCCCAAAGTGCTGGGTTTACAGATGTGAGTCACTGCACCTGGCCCACCATTTTTCAGATGGGGTCTTGGCTCTGCTCAGACTATATTGGTGAGATCATGGCTCACTGCAGCCTTGAACTCCTGGGCTCAAATCATCCTCCTACCTCAAGCTCCCAAGCAGCTGTTTCTATAGTCATGTGCAACCATGCCTGGCTAATTTATATAATTTTTGTAGAGATGGGATCTTGTCATGTTGTCCAGGCTGGTCTTGAACTACTGGCTTCAACTGATCCCCTTGCTACAGCCTCCCAAAGCACTAGCATCACAGGCATAAGCCACTGGGCCTGGTCCAGTTATTTTGATTCATTATTTTGTTCAGCACAAGGTAGATTTACAGATTGCAAATAATATGCCCTGAACAGGACATGATGAGTTACGTCTTTAATTCTAGCACTTTGGGAGCCCGAGGCAGGTGAATCACCTCAGGTCAGGAGTTCGAAACCAGCCTAGCCAACATGGTGAAGCCTCATCTCTACTAAAAATATAAAAATTAGCCAGGCATGGTAATGGGCACCTATAATCCCAGCTACTCAGGATGCTGAGGCAGGAGAATTGCTCGAACCTGGTGCGTGGAGGTTGCAGTAAGCCGAGATCACGCCACTGAACTCCAGCTTGGACAACAGAGCAAAACTCTTTCTTGGGGGGGGAAAAAAAAAAAAAGAACAGAACATACCCTGAATCCAGAACTGTCACCACCTAAAACTGAACTGAACTAACATCACCAGTCTGGGCAACATAGCGAGATGCTGTCTCCAAAAAAAAAAAAAGGAAAAATTAACCGGGCATGGTGGCACACTCCTGTAGTCACAGCTACTCAGGAGGCTGAGTTGGGAGAATTGCTTGAGCCCACGAGTTCAAAGCTGTAGTGTGATGAGATCCTGTCACTGCATTCTAGCCTGGGTGAGAGAGTGAGATCCTGACTCTAATAGTAAAATTTAAAAAAAAAAAATCGAACTAAATAGATTCAACATGCAATAAACAGGAGTTGTCATCTATAAAAACTCACCCAAATACACCAACCACACCTTTAAGAAAAGACTGTAAATGTTTGCTGAGATAAAAATGTATTTTAGATTCTTTTTCAGGAACCTAGGAGATGATCCAAATCTCATCAGGAAGCCACCAATCCTGAGATAAATGAATGTAACAAATTTCAGAATGAAGCTTTACTTAACACTATCTGCAGTTATATAATGACAGAGTTGGTAACTGGTGGAAAAATACTGATCAAGAAATGTTCCTGGCAGACGTGGTGGCTCATTCCTGTAATCCTGGTGCTTTGGCAGGTTGAGGTGGGTGGATCACTTGAGGTTGGGAGTTTGAGACCAGCCTGGCCAACATGGTGAAGCCCCATCTCTACCAAAAATACAAAAATCAGCCAGGTGTGGTGGCGTGCACCTGTAATCCCAGCTACTCGGGAGGCTGAGGCAGGAGAATCATTGGAACCAAGGAGGTGGAGACTGCAGTGAGCCTAGATCACACCACTGCACTCCAGTCTTGGTGATAAAAGCAAAACCCCAACTCTCAAAAAAAAAAAAAATAAAATATACAAAAAATTTAGCCAGGTGTGGTGGTGCCTGCCTGTAATCCCAGCTAGGAGAGGCTGAGGCAGGAGAATTGCTTGAACCCGGGAGGCAGAGGTTGCAGTGAGCCATGATCATGCCACTGCACTCCAACCTGCATGACAGACTGAGACTATCTCAAAAACAAAAAAAACAAACAAAAAAGATGCATTCTTTAAGAAAGTCATTCATTAGCATTTCTTCATCACTGTCCACAAAAAAGCATACTAACTCCTCTGCATGGTGATGTTCCTTGAGGATGCAAACCATATCAGGTCCATCTTTTTATCATTAGCTCCTAGGACAGTTCCCAGCTTATTACAGGAGTTCCATGAATGTTTGTGGGGGCTGAACTGGGTACCCATCCAAGCAAAGGTAAAGTTACAGAGACACACTCATAGACTGGGAAAGATGGCTCAGGCCAGAATATCATCTCATGTGGAGATCTTTCCAGCGAAACCACATTACTGGTTTTGCACTTATCCAACAGCCTTCTTTGCTACGTGTGGTTGAGTCCCAGGGGTCACTCCAGTTCCTTCTCATGATGTCACTGAAACAATTCTCATTCTTGTCAGCTTTTTGTGAAGCTCATCAGTGGAAATCAGCCCCATAGGCCTGGGTGAACAGATATAACTGAACCTGCTTAGATGAGGTTCAAGGAACAGGCCCTTGGGACACCCACAGGTATGGCCGTATCAATAAAAGCCAGCTGACCTTCCTCACTTTCTCATGGGTCTTGGTAGCGGGTATTTGGAAAATTAATTGTATCCCCCATTTGCAATGACTAAGCTCCAGGACTGCATTCTTACCTCTGTAATCCCCATACAGGTTAGGAAGGAGGATGTGATTGGCCCAGGGATAGAAATCCTGAAGAAGCTTGATTTCTGAGAAACGGTGAGCAAAGGTCCTCCGGATAGCTTGGTGGAGGTAAAATCTATTGGAGTTCTTTGCAGAGTAGATTGTAGTCATCAACAGGGTAAGGAAGAAGATTTGTACTAGTTTAGAAGAGAAAAAAATGCCATAGTTGAGTGGTTAACTGAGAAATTCTCTATGCCTTTTTCTTCATTTTTCCTAAGTCTATAGACATATGTAGGTCAAAACCAGTGAAAAATTGGCAATTTCATATGGTTCTATATAGTAATTATAAATATACACATACACATTTCCTTCCCAGAATTATTCTGCCACTAATAATACATTTTATTTAAAATAAGATACACAGGCCAGGCACAGTGGCTCACACTTGTAATCCTCACACTTTGGGAGGCCGAGACAGGCAGATCACCTGAGGTCAGGAGTTCAAGACAAACCTGGCCAACATAGTGAAACCTCCTCTCTACTAAAAATATAAAAATTAGCTGGGTGTGGTTGTGCATGCCTGTAACCCCAGCTACCTGGGAGGCTGAGGCAGAAGAATCACTGGAACCTGGGAAGCAGAGGTTGCAGTAAGCTGACACTGTACCACTGCACTCTAGTCTGGGCAACAGAGTGAGACTCCATTAAAAAAAAAAAAAAGATACATAAAATCCCACACAAGAAATGTGTTTAGCTCTAAGGACTAAGCGTGTACTGCATCTCACTCATCTGATTGTGTTCACTAGAAGCGAAGCCATGATAAAAACAGAATGTCTTCTTTGGATTAGAGAATCCAATAATGAACTAGATGTGTTGAAGCCAGTCAACTAGCACCTCCAGAATAGCCTTTTGCCAAAGCATTTTCATTTTCCCTCCATAGATCAAGTGTTATTACATTTTGCAGGTGGAAAAAGTGATGTACTAAAGCACACAATGAAACCTCTAGACTCCAAGGTCAGGGGTCTGTCCAGTTACCATCCCACCTGCTTTACTGGAATCCCAAATCTCACAAGCTGAAGATCTTAAAAGACAGCTTTTGAACCCTTCTTTATTTTCCATTTTATTCTCTCTCTTCCTTTCCCTTCTGAAAAAAGTGTTCTATTACTAAGTATGTTGCCATTTCCTCTCCATACCCAAAATATCTCCAGTCAGTTGGAAGAGTTTCTTCTTTTTCAGGGTTCTTTCTGGGTGCTTAGTTGGACTATTCATAGTTGGGGCTACATAGACGGGGTTGTTCTTATCTCTTGAACCTGGTACTGATGAAGAACACTTTGCTGTCAAAAATTCAAATGTAGACCAAAGAAATGTTATATTTCATTAAGCGGTCACTCACCATTCATTGAGCATCTATGTGAGCACCTCCTTTTAAATCCTGAAGAAACAAGGAGTCAAACTACCTATGCAGTGCTTTTTAAACTCTCTATTATAAAGGACCTGTTTTTTAAAAAATTCCAATCAATTGGAGACTGATACTTCTTTGCAATACAATAAAAATTAGTTACCAGGCTGAGGACAGTGGCTCATGCCTGTAATTCCAGCACTTTGGGAGGGGTTTTGCCATGTTGCCCAAGCTGATCTCGAACCCCTGACTTCAGGTGATCCACCTGAGACCCTGTCTCCTAAAAAAAAGAAAAAATTAAAACATATATAACAAAAGAAAAAAATAAAGCAGAAGCAGGTAAAATGCAAAGCCTGTTTTTGAAAATTAGATTTAATAGGTATAAAGTTAGGCTGCCAGATTGCTAAAGTTTTCAAATGCTTATTTTTGATTCCTGTACTTATCTTAGACTAGAAACAAACAGTTCTAGCCTGTGAGCCACACTTTGATAACACTATTCTATAGTGGCATTTCTCACATTTTAATGTGCATAGGAATCATCTGGGAATATTGTTAAAATAAAGATTCTGGGGTGGGGCCTAAGAGTCTACATTTCTATGTTTTTATTTTTAATTTTTTTACTTTTTATTTTTCCACCCCATGGGTAACTGCTAAGATGATTCTGCATTTCTGACAATTCCAGGAGATGACAATGCTGCTGGTCTGCACACAACACCATGAGTAGAAGAATCTAGAGACAGATTAAGAATGAGAGAAAGCCAGTGAATTACAGGAGGGCATAAGGCCAAGTGCGGTGGATCATGCCTGTAATCCCAGCACTTTGGGAGGCCAAGGCCGTCTGATCACCTGAGCTCAGGAGTTCGAGACCAGCCTGGCCAACATGGCGAAACCCTGTCCCTACTAAAAATATGAAAAATTAGCTGGGCGTCGTGGTGTGCACCTGTAATCTCAGCTGCTCTGGAGGCTGAGGCAGGAGAATTGCTTAAACCTGGGAGGTGGAGGTTGCAGTGAGCCGAGATCATGCCACTGCACCCCAGCCTGGGTGACAGCGTGAGACTCCATCTCAAAAAAAAAAAAAAAAAAAAATTAAAATAAAAAAAAAATAGAAGGAGGCATGAAGCTTGCCAGCATGTATGTGCCTAGTACCGTGGGATCAGTGAAGAGTCAGCAAATAAATCTCTCCAAGAAAGTCAGAGAAGGCTCCACAGAGGAAGCGACATTTGACATTTATTTTGAAGGATGAATCAGAGCTCTCTACATGAACAAGGGTGAGGATAAGGGGGAAAAAAAAAAGTCTCTTTTAGGCAGAGAGACCAACAGTTCAGAATGCATGGAGAAACAAAGTAAGTGCAAGGAAGTCAGTATATTATTATTTTTTGAGACGGAGTTTCACTCTTGTCGCCCAGACTGGAGTGCAATGGTGCAATCTCAGCTCACGACAACCCTCGCCTCCCAGGTTCAAGGGGTTCTCCTGCCTCAGCCTCCCAAGAGGCTGGGATTATAGGCGTGCACCACCATACCCAGCTAATTTTCTATTTTTTGTAGCCACAGAGTTTCACCATGTTGGCCAGGTTGGTCATGGACAGAAGGCAGTTTCAAGTCAGATTAAGATTTTTCACCTCACAAGGAATGGAGTGCCTACTGCTTAGCAGTGGATGACCACTTAAATAGTGACTGTTAGGAGGCCAGGTGACGTGGCTCATGCCTGTAATCTCAGCACTCTGGGAGGCCAAGACAGTTGGATCATCTGAGGTCAGAAGGTCAAGACCAGCCTGGCCAACATGGTGAAACCCCATCTCTACTAAAAATACAAAAATTAGCCAGGTATGGTGGCATATGCCGGTAATCCCAGCTACTTGGGAGGCTGAGGCAGGAAAATCGCTGCAATCCTGGAGGTAGAGGTTGCAGTGAGCCAAGATTGCACCACTGCACTCCAGCCTGGGCAACAAGAGTGAGAGTCCGTCTCAAAAAAAAAAAAAAAAGAAGTGACTGGCAACATCAAGTCTATTGTGTACCCCCCTCTGTCATGGCATTCTCCCCTTCTTTCCCTCAGAGGTAGTTCTTTCCTGAATTTTGGAGTTTGTCATTTCCATACATTTCTTTATATTTTATCTATAAATGCATAGAAGAGATACATATGTATCCTCCAATCAAGATATGCATCGTTTTTACGTGATTAAAATATTGTGCCAATTTTTCTGCAAGCTCCTCTTTTTACCCAAGATTGCGTTTCTGAGGTTCACCCAGGTGATAAGTTAGCCCTAGCCAGTTATTTAGAGGGTAGGCTTTCTCAGGCTTGGTCACTAAATGTGGAAATTACGAGAGGAATTTAGGATTATGTATTCTGACTTTTCTAGAGAATGCTAATGCTCTTGATTAGAATGAGAAAATATAGTAAAGAAGTGGATTTGTGGGCAGGCAAACGATTCAGTCTGACACACTTGGAGGCATGAAGCTCCAGATAGGGAGCCATGGAAAATGGCACCTTGGGCTGATGGGAGGGAGGGAAGGGAGGGAAGGGAGGAGAGAGACAGGAGAAAGGAGGGAGAGAGACAGAGATGAAAAGGAGATCTAAAATGCAGGGAGGCTGGGTGCACAGGCTCACACTGGTAATCCCAGCACTTTGGGAGGTCGAGGAGGGTGGATCACCTGTCAGGAGTTCAAGACCAGCCTGGCCAACATGGGGAAACCTTGTCTCTAATAATAATACAAAAAAATTAGCCGGGTGTGGTGGCAGAGGCCTGAAATCCCAGCTACTTGGGAAGCTGAGGCAGGAGAGTCACTTGAACCCAGGAGGTGGAGCTTGCAGTGAGCCGAGATCGCACCATTATACTCCAGCCTGAGCGACAAGAGTGAAACTTCAACTCAAAAAAATAAAAATAAACAAAATAAACTGCAGGGGAGAGATGAAGCACTAGGAGGGAGAATGTGATGATCAAGGTGAGGATCCTCGTCTGGAAGCGCATTAGTCTTGGGCAGAAGAAGAGAAATAACCAGTTGGTTAGAGACAAGTCCTTTGAATGGGTTAATTTATCTGAGTCAGCAAGGTGGCCAGAGTAACACTGATCTGATCTAATTTGCTTTTTGCAAAATTAGGTAGTTGTTAGAACTACTTGAGTTACCCAAGAGTGCCAAGATCCTCTTGGTTTGTTGTTCCTTCTCCTTGTGAAGCCGTGGCACCCTGCTCATCATCAGTGAGTGGAAGAATGTGAAGACGACCACCTGGGCAGGAGAACCACAGGAGAACATCGTGAGCAGAAATTACAGACCCAGGAGGATGATACCTTCTGTAAAGGAAGAGGTGGGCATTAATGAAAAACTTCAGTTATTTGGCCACTTATTTATTTTTATTTTTGAGATGCAGTCTTGCTCGATTGCCCAGGCTGAAAGGCAGTGGCATGATTTTGGCTCACTCTAACCTCCGCCTCCTGGGTTCAAGTAATTCTCTGCCTCAGCATCCCCAGTAGCAGGATTACAGGTGCACGCCACCATGCCTGGCTAATTTTTGCATTTTTAGTAGAGACAGGGTTTCACCATTTTGGCCAGGCTGGTCTTGAACTCCTGACCTTGTGATCCTCCCACCTTGGCCTCCCAAAGTGCTGGGATTACAGGCATGAGCCACTGTGCCTGGCTTTGGCCCTTTATTTCAATGGAAAACTAATTTCAGTCATTTTTGTACAATGATGGGGACCTGGAGAAGGGCCAGAAGACTCTAAATAATGTTAATATTCCTCTTTTTTGCTTATAGTTCTTAATCTGGTGGGAGAAGTTTACACTGTCAAATGATTTGTGATGTCTATTCAGTAATATTTCTCAGTGTCTTTGGAATACCTCTGATGAAGATCCAGACTTTTTTTTTTTTTTTTTTTTGAGACAAAGTCTCACTCTGTCACCCAGGCTTGAATGCAGTGGCACAATCTCAGTTCACTGCAACCTCTGCCTCTTGGGTTCAAGTGATTCTCTTGCCTCAGCCTCCCAAGTAGCTGGGACTGTAGGTGCATGCCATGCCCAACTAATTTTTATATTTTTAATAGAGACAGGGTTTCACCATGTTGACCAGGGTGGTCTTGAACTCCCAACCTCAAGTGATCTGCCTGCCTTGGCCTCCCAAAGTGCTGGGATTAAAGGCATGAGCCACTGCACCTGGCCAAGAGTCAGTCTTTTAGAAGTCCCAGGATTAAATCTCAGGCTAGCAAAAGAAGTTGAGGAATCTTAGAATCAAGTAAGACCTTAAGAATCTATTAGAGGAAACAAGTATTCCCCCATTCCTTAAATTTCCATAGAGGGCAAGAAAGTTCCATTCCAATTCTCAGAAGAATGAAGAGGGGTGATATTCTCAGCCTGGGGCCACACTCTCCTTACTCCACCTTATCCCACTAGGAAGAACCTGCTGGTGATCCCTCTCTCTCTGGGACCTGCCTGCCTGCAGTGTGGTCTGCTCAGCCGTGACTGGGCTTCCCAGGGTTGGGCCAGTGGGCTTGGGCCAGGGCCAGGCTTTGTATCTAGAGGGGGAGTTTGAGATACCAAGTAGTTGGCTGGGTGTAGTGGCTCATGCCTATAATCCTAGCACTTTGGGAGGCCGAGGTAGATGGATCACCTGAGGTCAGGTGTTTGAGACCAGCCTGATCAACATGGTGAAACCCCGTCTCTACTAAAAATACAAAAAATTAGCTGGGCATAGTGGCGGGTACCTGTAATTCCAGCTACTTGGGAGGCTGAGGCAGGAGAATGGCTTGAACCCGGGAGCGGAGGTTGTAGTGAACTGAGATCACGTCATTACACTCCAGCCTGGGTGACAGAATGAGACTCTATCTTTAAAAAAAAAAAAAAAAAAAAGATACCTAGTAGTTTCATCACCCCCAAAATTCCCACAAGCTGTTTCTTTGTATTTATAATTGTTTTAAAATGAAGAGTCCATAACTTTTAGAAATATAAAGACTAAAATATGTGAAATGGAAAAAATGATATGAAGTCTGATATTTTCCTCCCAACATAACAGACAAAACAAGATTGGCCATGAGTTGGTTATTATTGAAGCAGGGTGGCAGGACTTCAGGATGCAGTATACTAACCTCTACACTTTTGTGTGGGTTTGACATTTTCCTTAAATATAAAAAATTTAAGTTTTTTGTTGGTTGTTTTTTTCAAAGTGGTTTAGGTTGTTGATTTGTTACTGGTTACTGTCCTCTTTGCTCCCAGTCATTTTCTGCCATACTTCTTTTTTCTGTGATGAATTACACATATCCATAACAAATGTCAGTGTTTGCTTTTTTTTTTTGGAGACAAGGTCTCGTTGTCACCCAGGCTGGAGTATAGTGGTGCAATCGCAGCTCACTGAAGCCTCAGCCTCCTGGGCCAACCAATCCCACCTCAGCCTCCCAAGTAGCTGGAACTACAGGAGCACACCACCATGCCTGGCTAAGTTTTTGTAATTTTTGTAGGGATGGAGTTTCATCATGTTGCCCAGGCTGGTCTTGAATACCTGGACTCAAGCAATCTGCCTGTCTTGGCCTCCCAAAGTGCTGGGATTACATGTGTGAGCCACTGCACCCAGCCTGGTTTGCCTATTTGTTTTTTTTTTTTTTTTTTTTTTTTTTTTTTTTTTTGAGACGGAGTTTCGCTCTTGTTACCCAGGCTGGAGTGCAATGGCGCGATCTCGGCTCACCGCAACCTCCGCCTCCCGGGTTCAGGCAATTCTCCTGCCCCAGCCTCCTGAGTCGCTGGGATTACAGGCACACGCCACCATGCCCAGCTAATTTTTGGTATTTTTAGTAGAGACGGGGTTTCACCATGTTGACCAGGATGGTCTCGATCTTTTGACCTCGTGATCCACCCGCCTTGGCCTCCCACAGTGCTGGGATTACAGGCTTGAGCCACCGCGCCCGGCCTTGCCTATTTGTTTTTTGATGTTTATGTTACATTGTCAAAACCACTAGGCATCTTGGATTGACACCAAGGGACCTCAATCTCCCAAACTTGTGCAACTCCAGTGGTTCTTCCCATTCCTCACATACCTTTACTGGCTGGCTGATGAGGACATTTTGAAGCACTGATAAAATAACTGAAATCATCCAGCTGGTGGCTTGGTCTTTGTTCAATTCCAAGCTATAAAGTGCTATAAAGAAGGCTGAAGCCAGGCTAGTGAGACCCAGGAGGAGCCAGCAGAATGAACTCAACCATTTGGACAGGCCATTAGAGATGGGCCTTTTTCCTTCTTCTGAGCTCAGGATGGCGAAACTGGTGACTTCCCTTAAGAACAAAAGTTGAAGGAATAATCTCGTACCCATCAGCTGAGAGAGAGGATGAGGAAGATTACAGGGGATAAAGAAGGCTTGGTGTGGTGCATTACCTGAATGGCTCTTGCTCCGTGGGAAGCATGTGTGTTTCCAAGAGTTCCTGGAGTTTTTGAAGATGGCTGGCTGCAGCTAGGAGGTCACAAGTCTGGTGGCCCTGGGTGAGACCCAGAGTGCCTAAGTGAGATTTTAGCCTCTGTAGAACTCTACACAGGTAACAGCAGAAATGATGGTGGTTTTCAGGAACAACTGAAAATATATTTCAAGTTGATACTTTCACAAGCGGATTTCAGTAAGTAGCAATTAGTGGTAGAGATAAGCAATTCATTAATTGATGATGAGACTAAATTTTCCCACTACTAGCAGAGATTGGACTGTACCCAACACTTGCAGTATTACCATCTTCTCTGAGGATACTGGTGAATTTTAACAACTGTAAAATTCTAAGCTTTGATCTGAAGACTTTTAAAACCTTACTGACTTCTTCACCAGAATGGCTGTACATGTAACCTATACTAATGCCCAGGAGACTCAAACTGTTTTTGAGGATCTATAGATTGCATCATCTCACCATCTCATGAAAGAAAAAGGATGACAAGTTTCAACAGCCTTCAACAAAGCAGATGGGATATGTGGGTCTAATACAGAGAATATTTTTTCTTTTCTTTTTCTTTTTGAGATGGAGTTTTATTCTGTCACCCAGGCTAGAGTGCAGTGGCATGATCTCGGCTCACTGCAGTCTCTGCCTCCCAGGTTCAAGCGGTTCTCCTGCCTCAGCCTCCCAAGTAGCTGGGGTTACAGGTGCGTGCCATCATACCCAGCTACTTTTTGTATTTTTAGTAGAAAAGGGGTCTCACCACGTTGGCCAGGATGGTCTCAATCTCCCGACCTCATGATCCACTCGCCTTGACATCCCAAAGTGCTGGGACTACAGGCATGAGCCACTGCATCTGGCCCAGAGAACATTTTTCCTGTATTTTTTTTTTTTTTTTCTGAGATGGAGTCTTGCTCCGTCACCCAGGCTGAGTGTAATGGTGCAATCTTAGCTCACTGCAATCTCTGCTTCCCAGGTTCAAGGATTCTCCTGTCTTAGCTTCCATAGTAGCTGGGATTACAGGCATGTGCCACCACACCCAGCTAACTTTGGTATTTTTAGTAGAGACAGGGTTTTGTCATGTTGGCCAGGCTGGTTTTGAACTCCTGACCTCAGGTGATCCACCCACCTCAGCCTCTCAAAGTGCTTGGATTACAGGCATGAGCCACCACGCCTGACCTGTGTGTGTGTGTTTTTTAATCCTGTACTTTTTATCACCAGACAGATTGTCTACGCCATCAAGGAGAACAAATCTATCAGCTCTATATTAGAAGCTTAAGGCAATTAAAACAAGCAGAAGGTTGTGTCAGGCCTGTTGGTTATGAATGAGTAAGAAAGAAAGAGACAGGCAAGGGAGTGGGAGGCAGATGGAACATTCGTTACTCAAATCTACTGAAGTTTACCACGTGCCCGGTGGCGCTCTGCCTGCTGATGACAGCCTTGACCCTCCAAGTGAGAAGACAGGAGGCTGGATAAAAGTTCCACCAGCTTAGTAATGTTGCAAGAACTCCATGACGGTTGTTTACACTCTGAGAGTAGATATGTATGTCTTCTGAGCAGGAATCGCACAGTTTCCCTTAATTCCTGAATATAGAACCAAGATGAGAAAAATCAGCCTGTTTTTCATTAAGCCGGGATTTGTAGCAATTACAGGTGGTAAGGCTGTTTCCTTTAGTCAAAAGGGGATCTGCTTAGCATGAAGAACCTCAATTTTTCATGTTCTCTCTAATTTTTCAGAAAGCAGTCACCTCATAGCTCACAGTAGCTGCAATACCAGTTTTATGAGAGAATACGGAATGAAAAAAGAGACAATTTGATCAAACATCAAAGACTAAAACACGGCCAGAGTGGTACCTATGCACGCCCACTTGGTCCTCAGAATACTTCACAAGCAAGAGTCAAAGCTAAAGATGTGGTTAATCACAGCTCAGGGGACAAGAGCTGGGAAAAATATGTTACAGGTAAGAGGACCCTGACAGCCTTCCATGAGATTCTTCCCACTGCTCTCTTTCACTGTGTGGGGAAGGAAAGCATGTAATTCATCTGTAAAATTTGATACTAGCTGGTCAAGGTGGCTCACGCTTGTAATCCTGGCACTTTAGGGGGCCTAAGTGGGAGGATGGCTTGAGCCCAAGAGTTTGAGATCAGCCTGGACAACATGGTGAAACCCTGTCTCTATAAAAAAAATACAAAATTTACCCAGATGTAGTGACACATGCCTGTCGTCTCCACTACTTGGGAGGCTGAGCTGGAAGGATTTCTTGAGCCTGGGAGTCTGAGGCTGCAGTGAGCTGAGATTGCGCCACTGCACTCAAGCCCGTGCAACAGAGCCAGACCCTATCTCAAAACAAATAAACAAGCAATAAAAATAAAATAAAATTTGATACCAAACTTACCTCAACTACCATTGTGACAGAGAGAGGCTCAACGGAAGCATCTAAGAGGCAGGAGACCTGGATGGGAGGAAAGAGGGGCACAGTCTCCTGTGGCTGAATCAACGGGAAGAGCCGCCCAATGACAAGATTGATTGGGAAGAGGATGACAGCAGTATGGATGCTGATGAGCAGTTCAGACCAGGCCACAGCAAATGTACCCACTGAAAGAAAAGCATGACATCAACTTTTATCTTCAACTATTAAAATAATCTCAAAGTCATTCCTCTCCTAGGTTTAACTATTTATTGAGGAAGCTAACTATGTTTATCTAGGAATAAAATTATCATGGCGGTAAAGATCATGTTGTATTCCTAATAGTGCTTCATTTGTTAACGAATGAGAACACTGAGAATATCTGTTAGAATGTTCTAATGTTAGGGCAGTGTAAGAAAAACAAGGCACAATGTATTAGTCTGTTTTCACACTGCTATAAAGAATTACCTGAGACTGGGTAATTTATAAAGAGAAGAGGTTTAATTCACTTACAGTTCTGCATGGCTGAGGGAGCCTCAGGAAACTTACTATCATGGTGGAAGGTGAAGAGGAAGCAAGACACCTTACATGGCATTACACCTCACATGATGTACAAAGCAAGGCATCTTACATGGTGCAGGAGAAAGAGTGACAGGGGAACTGCCACACACTTTTTTTCCCCCTGTGACAGAGGCTGGAACGCAGTGGTACAATCGCGGCTCACTGCAACCTCCGCCTCCTGGGTTCAAGCAATTAAACCATCAGATATCATGAGAACTCACTCGCTATCATGAGAAAAGTATGGGAGAAACTGCCCCCATGATCCAGTCACCTCCCAGCAAGTCCCTCCCTTAACACTGGGGGGATTACAGTTGGATGTGAGATTTGGGTGAGGACACAGAGCCAAACCATATCACACAACATGATTCTGTTTCTAATCCTGAAAGTAACGAGAGTGGAGTGTAGTAAAAGTATTGCATAGTAGGCTGGGCATGGTGACTCATGCTTGTAATTCCAGCATTTCAGGAGGCTGAAGCAGGAGGATCACTTGAAGCCAGGGCTGTAGACCAGCCTGGGTAACAGAGCAAGACTCTGTCTCAAAAAAAAAGGATTGCTTTTGCTTACTACCCACATCAGGGCTCATCCATACTTTGCTCATCTCTCTTGCCAGTGGTGCCACTTATCTTCCAGAACATAATGCTGATGACCATGTTGCAGAGGAGCAGTGTCATGCAGCAAGACAGCCGCTGGACTCTTGTAAACAGGTTCCAGGGATGCCGAGTTGCAACTGAAAGCCACAGATAATCCTGGGTGAACTTTTCTACAATCATGGAGGAAAACAGGTGTCTGAAAAGAGAAATTAGAAGAGGAAATGCATGAGATTTTATTCTAAAAGTGCCCCAGTTTAAGATGCGATTTGCCCAGCAACAAGTGACACAGCAACTCCCAAGCCTCTATTCAACACCTCTATGAATAAGCTTTCAGATAATATAATTCTTTCATTTATTTATTTTCAGTTCTTTTACCATCACACAAATGTGTCCATGTAAGATTCTTTCGTTATTTTAGGACAAAAAGTTTAGGATAATTTTTATGGTGTGCAAGTTTAAAATTAAAAATATTTTAGCTTTATGAGAGTTTTGGTAAATATTTTACTTTTCAAAAGTTTACATTAAACTTCTATTCAAAATAGTTTGGTGAATTCATACTCTGAGCACTTTCTCTATTCGAAATCTGGAGGAACGATAAATAATATATAAAAAGAGAGGACCAAAATGACTTTGCTGGGCTTAAACACAAAATAAACATCTGAGAAAGACATGCAGAATAAGAAAACAAGATGGTGAGAGGGAGGTAGAAGCCACAGGATTACTGAGCTCTAGATCTGGAAGAAGGTAGTACAAAGGTGGGAGTTTGACTTTTGTAGGGTAACTGAAACTAAAAATGTTTCATTGGGAGCAGGAGAGGGAGAGACAAAGCCAACTTCACTGCTAGAAGCCAGGGTTGAGCCTGGAGCTCATGAAAGAATACTTGAGAGCAAAAAAACCTCTGTAGGGGTACACATTTGTAGTAATAATGTGAGAAAAAAGGAACAGTTTCACGACCAGAAACTGAGTCGAGAGATCCACTGGCTATGCCAAGATCTGCAATATTCCTAGTTTCATAAATTTCATTGAAGAATAGGAGCTCCAAAATGCCATATAATACTGTAAGGCCTAGTTCTAAACTAGAGATGTGAAGGGTTAGAATGAAAACAGTAGCAAAACCAGTCAGAGATGGTGTTTGTTGTGGGAGGGGTGGACAGGATGGTGTGTGTGTACCTGGAGGTGCAGTGGCAGGGAGAGGAGTGGGAGGGAGAGGGAAAACAACAATCCAGCTCAAAAGAAATTAATTTAATGGGACAGTGTGACAAAAACTTCAAAGGAAATATTTCAGGTTGCTCTAAGTGAAGGAATAGGCCAGGTATACTGTCTGGCCCCTAATCCTAATGCTTTGGAAGGCTAAAGCAGGAGGATTTCTTGAGGTCAGGAGTTTCAGACAAGCCTAGGCAACATAGGAAGACCCTGTCACTACTTTTTTTTTAAATATTAAAAAACTCACCCAGTATGGTGGCACACACCTGTAGTTCAAGGAAATTAAGGCTGCAGTGAGCTGTGCTTATGCCATTGCACACCAGCCTGAGTGACAGAGACACTGACTGAAAAAAAAGGAATAATGTTGACTTAAGTCTAAAATATTATGAAAAAAACAGACATCAAGTAAATTAAAAATCTTGGCTGAGCATGGCAGCTCATACCTGCAATCCCAGCTCTTTAGGAGGCTAAGATGGATGGTTCACATGAGGCCAGGAATTTGAGACCAGCCTGGTCAACATGGTGAAACCCTGTCTCCACTAAAAATATAAAAATTAGCTGGGCATGGTGGTGCATGTCTGTAATCCCAGCTACTCAGAAAGCCAAGGCACGAGAATCACTTGAACCCAAGATGCGATGCGAAGGTTGCAGTGAGCTGAGATCATGCCACTGCATTCCAGCCTGGGCAAAAGAGCGAGACTGTCTCAAAAAAAAAAAAAAAAAAAAGGAACAAATAAAAGTCTTGAAACTAAAAAACGTGGACTCTTAGCAAGGAGGAAGTGAAAGCCAACGCAGAATTGTCAGTCGCCTTTCTGAATGTTGAAGGCATGACCCAACATGCATACAGAGTCCCTTGGTAAACAGTCCGTGACTTATTAGCTCTAGGCATTTCAGGAAATCTCTGTTCAATAATGAGCTAATCACTAAGCTACCTGAGCAGAAACTTCAGTTTCCACACACAACAAGGGATACAGACTTTACAGAATTCATTCAGAAAAATCCCTAAGCAAACTGGCAAACAGCAACAAACATTAAAAACAATGAACCCAGGCTGGGCGCGGTGGCTCATGCCTGTAATCCCAGCACTTTGGGAGGCTGAGGTGGGTGGATCACGAGGTCAAGAGATCGAGACCACCTGGTCAACATGGTGAAACCCCGTCTCTACTAAAAACACGAAACATTAGCTGGGCATGGTGGCGCATGCCTGTAATCCCAGCTACTCAGGAGGCTGAGGCAGGAGAACTGCCTGAACCCAGGAGGCGGAGGTTGCAGTGAGGTGAGATCGCGCCATTGCACTCCAGCCTGGGTAACAAGAGTGAAACTCCGTCTCAAAACAAACAAACAAACAAACAAACAAACAAACAAAAAACAATGAACCCTAGAGGAGGGGAAGAAAATCTGTCTTCCAGAGTTGCTAGATTTTGTTATTTAAAATGTCCAGTTTTCATCAACAACAACAAAAATCACAAGATATACAAAGACACAAGAAAGTATGGTCCTCACATACAGAAAACAAAAAACAGCAGTCAACAGATTATCCTTGAGGAAGCACAGACACCAGATTTACTAGACAAAGGCCTTAAATCAGCTATTTAAAATATATTCAGAGAACTAAAGGAAACTATTTTGAAAAATTAAATGAGAATGTTTCACCAAATACAGAATATCAATGAAGAGAAAATTAAAACAAATCAAATAGAAAGTCTTGAGTTGAAGAATACAAGTGAAATGAAAATTTCACTCGAGAGACCTGAGCAGGCAGAAAAATGAATCGGCAAACCTGAACATAGGTAAGGTGAAATGATTTATTCTGAAAAACAGAAATAAAAAATAAAGAAAAATGTACAGAGTTTCAGACTGCTGTAGAATACCACCAAGTGACCCTCCCATAGGAGTCCTGGAAGAGGATAAAGAGGCATAAGATTTAAAGAAATGGTTGAAAATTTCCCAAATTCGATGAAAGATTATCATGTATCTAAAAAGCTCAAAGAACTTTGAGTAGAATAAACTCAAGAGATCTGCTTGTACACTTCATAATAAAACTGGTGCAAGCCAGAAACAGAATCTTGAAAGCAGCGAGAGAGATGCAACTCATCATGTACAAGCCTCCTCAATAAGATTAACAGCTGACTTCTCATCAGAAACCATGGCGAATAGGAAGCAATGGGATGACACACTTGAAGTATAGGAAGAAAAAGGTTGTCAGTCCAAAATTATATATATAGCAGAACTATTCTTCAAAAATGGAGAAATAAGCATCCTTATTTTTCTATTCATTTTTCTTACAGATACATTTACATGTATATGTATATGTGTATTAGCATCAAGGGTAAATTAAGACACTTCAAGAGAAATAAAATTGAGAAAACTGTCTCTAATAATCCTGCCCTACATACTAGACAGTAACTCAAAACCACAGCAAGAAACAAATAGCAGTAAAGGTAACCACATAGGTAAAGATAATAAAATGTGGTGTATATGAACACACACACACACAAGGGAGTATCATTTAGTTTAGTTTTTTTGTTTTTGAGACAGGGTCTTGCTCTGTCACCCAGGTTGGAGTGCAGAGGTGAGATCTCAGCTCACTGGAAGCTCCATCCCATCTTCCCACCTCAGTCTCCCGAGTAGCTGAGACCACAGGTGCACGCCACCACAGCTGATATGGTTTGGCTGTATCTCCACCCACATCTCATCCTGAATTGTAGTTTCCATAATCCTCCACTCTGTCATGGGAAGAATCAGGTGGAGATAACTGAATCATAGGGTTGGTTTCCCCCATCCTGTTCTTGTGATAGTGAGTTCTCACGAGACTTGATGGCTTTATAAGGCACTTCCCCCTTCACTGGGCACTCATTCTCCTTCCTGCTGCCATGTGAATAAAGATGTGTTTGCTTCCCCCCCTTCCACCATGAGTGTAAGTTTCCTGAGACCTCCCAAGCCATGCTGAATTGTGAGTCAATTAATCATCTTTCCTTTACAAATTACCTAGTCTTGGATGTCTCCATAGTAGCATGAGAATGGACTAAATATAACACCTGGCTAATTTTTTGTATTTTTTGTAGAGATGGGGTTTTGCTATGTTGGCCAGGCTGGTCTCAAATTCCTGAGCTGAAATGATCCACCTGCCTCAGCCTCCCAAAGTGCTGGGATTCCAGGTGTGAGCCACTGCACCTAGCCCGTCATTTGGCTTTAAAAAGGAAGCAATTTTTTTTTTTTTGACATGGAGTTTTGCTCTTGTTGCTTAGGCTGGAGTGCAATGGCACAACCTTGACTCACTGCAACTTTTGCCTCCCAGGTTCAAGGAATCCTCCTGTCTCAGTCTCCCAAGTAGCGGGGATTACAGGCATCCAAACCACACTTAATTTTTGTATTTTTAGTAGAGATGGGGTTTCACAACATTGGCCAAGCTGGTCTTGAACTCCTGACTTCTGGTGATCCATCTGCCTCGGCCTGCCAAAGTGCTGAAATTACAAGTGTGAGCCACTGCACGCAACCCCAAAAGGAAGGAAATTCTTGCACATGCTACAACACGAATGAAACTTGAGGACAATGATAAATAAAATAAGCCAGCCACGAAAAGACAAATACCGTGTGGTTCCACTTACATGAGGAATCTGAAGTAATAAAATTCATAGAAATAGAAAGAATAGTTGCCAAGGGTTGGAAGGGGGAAGAAACAGGAAGTTGTTTAATGGGTGCAGAGTTTCGGTTTTGCAAGGTGGAGAAGTTCTGGAGCTCTGTTGCACAACAGTGTGAATATATATACTACCACTGAACTGAACACTTAAAAATGGTTAAGACTAAAATTTATGTGCTTTTACCATAATTTAAAACTTTTTTAAAAATAGCATAAACAGGCCGGGTGTGGTGGCTCACGCCTGTAATCCCAGCACTTTGGGAGGCCGAAGCAGATGGATCACTTGAGGTCAGGAGTTCCAGACAAGCCTGGCTAACAAGGTGAAACCCTGTCTCTGTTAAAAATACAAAAATTAGCCTGGCATGGGGGCATGCGCCTGTAATCTCAGCTACTTGGGATGGGAGGAGGGGAGGAGAATATGTTGAACCTTGGAGGCAGAGGTTGCAGTGAGCCAAGATCAGGCCACATACTCCAGCCTACGTGAAAGAGAGAGACTCTGTCTCACAAAAAAAAAAAAAAAAAAAAGAAAAAAAATCATAAACATAGATATATAGCTTGCAACTTTTCTGTCTGCCTTAAAAAATAGCTACATGCAGCAGTGACTATGAATCTATGTGATAGACACACAGTGCATGAAGTTGTCATTGGTATGACAATAGCACAAAGGAGTGGGAAGGGAACTGAGCTATAGGAGTGAAGTTCTTGTATACCACTGAAATTAAGTTGGTATTAATCCAGCTAAGTTGTCATAAATTAGGATTTATAATTGCCCGGGAAAGCATGGAGAAAATAATTTAAAATATATATAGTAAAAGATATGACAAAAGAATACAGTAGACTAGAAAATATCTATGTAACACAAAGAAGGCAGTGATGTTCATTTGTAGATTCTGTGCCAGTGGGTGTGGGTAACTGTTGAACCCCATTTGTGATGAAGCTAAAAAAGGTAGTGATAAAAAAATTTAGAAACCAAAACGATACAATAGAAAATACATATAGAAAACAAATAGTAAAATCAAAGATATAAACCTCACGTTATTAGTAATTATATCAAATGCAAATAGGTTAAACTCACAAATTAAAAGATAGAGATTGGCAGAATCAACCAAAAAACCCCTAATCCAACTGTATTATGTCTACAACAGACTTAATTTAGATACGAAGACACAAATGAATTGAAATTAAAAGGATGGGCCGGTAGAGAAGTCTCCCACCTATAATCTCAGGACTTTGGGAGGCTGAGGTGGGAGGATCATTTGAGGTCAAGAGTTCGAGGCCAGCCTGGCCAACTTGGTGAAACCCCGTGTCTACTAAAAATACAAAATTTAGCCAGGCATGATGGCACATGCCTATGGTCCTAGCTAGTTGGGAGGTTAAGGCAGGAGAATTGCTTGAACCCAGGAGGTGGCAGTGAGCCAAGATTATACCACTGCACTAAAAGGATGGAAAAAGATATTCCATGCAAACAGCAATCAAAAGAGAACTGGAGTGGCTATACTAAGAAAAAATATACCTCCAGACAAGAATAATTCCTAGAGACAAAGGACATTTTATTAAGGGGTCAATCTATTAAGAAGATAAATTCACCTGTGCTCATTGTCATCTTACAAGCCAAATGGAACTGTTGCTAACCAGCCAAATAGCTGTCACAGTGTTTCTGCTTAGGAACTGCTTGACAAGAAGACAGTGTATTAAAATCTTCAAAGTGTTAAGGGAAGGATAGCAAAAAATTTCTATCCAGCTAAATAGCTAAACTAAGAGTTGAGAGTAAAGATGCACACACACACCTCTCATTAGAACTATTAAAAGAGCTACTTCAACAATAAGAAAAAGCCCAGAGTGATGGTATCATACCTCTATTGGAAACACAGAAATTAAACCATAAAAAAATCACATTTCAACAACAAAAATGAATATATTTGAATTAATATACCTATATACGTTTTAAAAATACTAGAACTAGTTGGATGCAAAGGTGTATGCCTGCAATCCTAGCTATGCAAGAAGCTGAGGTGGCAGGACTGCTTGAGCCCAGGGGTTTAAGACCAGCTTGGGCAACACAGTGAGACCCTATCTCAGAAATCAAAACAAAACAAACCTAGAACTGTAACAGGCATACGGAAGAGAAACTGTATTTACTACTTCTTGTTTTCATAAAGGAGAGAAAACTACCAGTTTTATTCCTAGATACAAGCAACACACAATTTAAAGTGTGTATTTTTTGATTGCTTTTGTTTTGGAGATAGGGTCTCATTCTGTATTTTTTTTTCCCACTTCCTGCTTGATGAACATCCATGTTTTTTAGTTTCAAAGGCTTTTTTCAAGTCTTTGCTCCTTTGCATAGGCTGGAGTGCAGTGATACGATCTCGGCTCACTGCAGCCTCCACCACCCAGGTTCAAGTGATTTTCCTGCCTCAGCCTCCCCAGTAGCTGGAACTACAGGAGAACACCACAGCACCAGGCTAATTTGTGTCATTTTGATACAGAGGGGCTTTCACCATGTTGGCCAGGGTGGTCTCTAACTCCTGACCTCAGGTGATCCACCCATCTTAGCCTCCCAAAGGGCTGGGCTTACAGCTATAAGCCACCATACCTGGCCCTTCTCCTTAAATCTTATTTCCAAAGTTAGTATATAAAAGGCCAAAGCCCCCACTTAATTCTGTTGAACTGCCTATTCTGGAAGGAGACAGCCACCCTGTGAAAAATGACACTCTTCTGAGGCTGCTGCAGGCGCCATGCATAGGTGCTTTGTGGACAGCCACAGATGAGCCCTCTGTTGACAGCCAGCGCCACCTGCTGACCTTGTGAGCAAACCATTTTTGGAAATCTAGCAGATAAGCTTGCAGAAGAGTAGAAACCCAGTCGGGAAGAACGAGCCCAAGGGAAAACTCCCCCGCCATGGCTTCACTCAATTTCTGACCCACAAAACCAGGAGACAAGTAAAATGGTTGTTTCAATCCACTGAGTTTGGGGAGTAATTTGTTACAAAGCAATTGTAATTGGAGCAGATCTTGATAAAGAAACACACATTTCTTGCTGTTCTGGATATCCTCACTACTCAATCACACAGATCCCCATCGGTGTGATGGGAGCCAAATCCCAGAACAAACAGCTTCATGTTTTTTGCCTTTAAGCATTTTAATGTAAGGACACGGTGTTTGGTTGGTTTTGTTGTTTTGAGACAGGGTCTCTCTCTGTTTGCTGAGGCTGGAGCACAGTGGCTTGATCTCGGCTCACTGCGATTTCCACTTCCCCAGTTCAAGCCATCCTTCTGACTCAGCCTCCCAAGTAGCTTGGACTACAGGTGCACGCCACCATGTCTGGCTAATTTTTGTACTTTTGGAGGAGATGGGGTTTTGCTATGTTGGCCAGGCTGGTCTCAAACTCCTGGCCTCAAGTGATTCGCCTGCCTCAGCCTCCCAAAATGCTGGGATTACAGGTGTGAGCCACCATGCCTGGCCAGGACATGGTGTTTGGGCCTCTTGCAATCATCTTGTTCCCATAAGGAAAAAGCCAACAGCCCTAATATTGAACCAGAAAATTGAAGGGAAGAAGAGTATCAGGTAGCAGAGGTATATCCTCCTAGGCATATTCTCATCTTTAGCATTCAGGAGATGCAAAAATATACATGGATACCTAGAAAGATACAGAAGTAGATACACACATTATACTGTTCTCCTGGTCTGTCTGTGAATTTACCAGTATACCACATTGCTTTAATTATTTTGGTTTACCAGCATCTTTGTATTTTTTGAGACGGGGTTTTCCTCTGTTGCCCAGGCTGGAGTGCAGTGGCACAATCTTGTCTCACTGCAACTTCTGCCTCCCAGATTCAAGTGAGTCTCATGCCTCAGCCTCCCGAGTAGCTGGGATTACAGGCGTGCACCACCATGCCTGGCTAATTTTTTTAATTTTTAGTAGACACAGGATCTTGCCATGTTGGATAGGCTAGTCTTGAACTCCTGACCTCAAGTGATTCACTTGCCTCGGTCTCCCAACGTGCTGGGATTGCAGGTGTGAGCCATGGTGCCTGGCCAGATTACTAGTATCTCTGAAAATCAGTTGAAGGCTACAGCGCTCTCACACTTTCCTCTATGTTTATGTTTTGTCCTCGTATTTTCATCATGGAAGTAGTTGTATCCTTTTCATATTCCATTGAGCGATTGTTTTATTCCTAGATATCTTAGCAAATTATTTATAAATGATTCTCTAGGTAAGCAGCTTCAGAAAATAATGGCAACATTTTTAAGTTTTATACTTGTCATGCTTCTGATTTTTAAGATAATGGTTACACCATTTACAACCACAACAGTAATGCTAATGTATGTTTGAAATAATATATTAATAAAATAATTTGCATTAAAAACAATTCAATTAATAGTGAACATTTCAATTAACAGTGAACAATTCAATCAATAGTGAACAATTCAATTAATAGTGAACATCAACATTCACTGTTAGTAGCAATTTTCCAACAGTACCTAAAGGAAAAGAGCTCTCTCTTTGAAACTGGTATGAAGACCCGGTCAAGCTCACAGTCTCCGAGGTCCACAGCCAGCCAGCAATTGCACAGGAAATGCCATTTCCTCTTAACTGCCATGTCACAGACAATTACCTGGGTGACATACCTATAGTAAAATGAAGACAGTCATGTTAGGGAGGTGGGCTCGAATCAGTTGTTTGTAGTAAGACGTAATATCGCACCATTAGTAACTATCCAAATAAACAAACTGTTTCATTGCAAGGCAAGAACTAAGGAAAGAAAGGAGAGTAGAGGCCAGACATGGTGGTGTGCGTCTATAACCCCAGCACCTTGGGAAACTGAGGCAGGTGAATTGCTTGAGCTCAGCAGTGTGAGCCCAGCTTGGGCAACATTGCAAAATCCCATCTCTAAAAAAATATAAAAATTAGCTGGGCATGGTGGTGTTCGCCTGTAGTCCTAAACTACTTGGGATGCTAAGGTGGAAGGATTATTTGAGCCCAGGAGGTCAAGGCTGCAGTGAGTTGAAATTGCAACACTGCATTCCAGCTTGAGTGACAGTGAGAACCCCACTCAAAAAAAAAAAAAAAAATGAGAGATCTTATCTTTTCCTTCCCAACTTCTAAGGGAGTTCATGCATCAGACACCAGACTTCAAACCTTTCTCACCTATATACTTTCTTTTTTTTTTTTTTTTGAGACAGAGTCTCACTCTGTGGCCCAGGCTGGAGTATAGTGGTACAATCTGGGCTCACTGCAACTTCTGCCTCCTGGGTTCAAGCGATTCTCCTGCCTACAGGCGCATGCCACTACACCTGGCTAATTTTTTGTATTTTAGTAGACACGGGGTTTCACCATGTTAGCCAGGAGGATCTTGATCTCTTGACCTCATGATCTGTCCACCTCGGCCTCCCAAAGTGCTGGGATGATAGGTGAGAGCCACTGTGCCCAGTGTATATATACTTTTTATAACCTTTCTCTGTCCTGTATGTGACACTGGCTTGCCACCTTTTCAAATATCCCATCTGCCTCTCTTTCATCATCTGGGGTATAAACGGGGCATAGTCTTTAACGTTTACATCAATGACGTCTCTCTCTACTTAGTCTGGCCTCATTTCCACTTCACTGAGGCAAAGGCCCTGAGATTTCATCCTTTTCCCAGCCACAGTGTTTTATCACTAACTTTTCCGCTAACTTCAGCCACTCACACACTTGTCTTCTGGGACACCTGACTGTTCAACCTATTGACTTCATCTCACAACTAGTCAGCAAACTTCCTGCTTCACTGTAATGACACTATTTTCTCCAAGGGTCTGTGTTTAATGTCATGAAACCACTTAAATTGCTCTCGTGAAAATCTTCATTTTAGTTGAACGTTATTTTCTGTGTTGGGAATATAGACTCCTTTAAACCTAAGGTATTTCTGGGGATTGTCTCATTGAAGCAGTTTATGAAACAACAGGTGACTAAGCTGCATTTGATTCAACTAGACAGTGCATTTTATATATTTAAAGCTGTCGTTTAAAAGCAAAGTATGGGCCAGAGTTGGTGACTTGTGCCTGCCGTCCCAGCATTTTGGGGACCGAGATGGGTGGATTGCTTGTGCTCAGGAATTTGAGACTACCCTGGACATCATGGTGAAACCCCATTTCTATAAAATACAAAAATCAGCCAGGCATGATGGTGCATACCTGTGGGCCCAGCTACTTAGGAGGCTGAGGTGGGAGGATCACTTGAGCCCGGGAGACAGAGGTTGCAGTGAGCTGTGATCATGCCACTGCACTCCACCCTCAGTGACAGAGCCAGACCTTGTCTCAGAACATAAGAAAAAAAAAGCTAAGTATAATAAAAGTAGAATAAAACACAATACAGAAGAAAATATTCATTTTTCTAGTCCTAGGCTTTTTATGCATCAATTTTAACTTTTATTCTCATATTCTTTCAAATGTAAGAAAAAGTACAGGCCGGGCGCAGTGGCTCACGCCTGTAATCCCAGCACTTTGGGAGGCCGAGGCGGGTGGATCACGAGGTCAAGAGATCGAGACCATCCTGGTCAACATGGTGAAATCCCGTCTCTACTAAAAACTACAAAACATTAGCTGGGCGTGGTGGTGCGTGCCTGTAATCCCAGCTACTCAGGAGGCTGAGGCAGAAGAATTGCCTGAACCCAGGAGGCGAAGGTTGCGGTGAGCCGAGATCGCGCCATTGTACTCCAGCCTGGGTAACAAGAGCAAAACTCCGTCTCAAAAAAAAAAAAAAAAAAATACAGGCACGTACAGAGTCTAATGTGAGTGTTAGGAAAGTCACTATCACCAGAAAGATTATGGAAAAAAGCTGTCTTTTGCTAAAAAAAAGAAAAAAGAAAAAAGAGTAGTAGTCTGTCCCTTTTCTGTGCTTTCCAAGGTGTCTGCATTAAAGCACAGATGTTACTTTTGCAATTAAAAAATAAAAACAGGCCAGGTGCAATGGTTCACACCTGCAATCCCAGCACTTTGGGAGGCCAAAATTGGATTGCTAGAGCCCATAAATTTGAGACTGGCCTGGGCAACACAGGGAGACTCCATCTCTATAAAAAAAGAAAAATTAGCCAGGTGTGGTGGTGGCATGCATTTGCAGTCCCAGCTCATTGGGGGGCTGATGTGGGAGGATCATTTGAACCCAGGAGGTTGAAGCTGCAGCGAGCCATGATCATGTCACTTCACTGCAGTCTGCACAACAGGGGAAGACCCTGCCTCAAAAATAAACAAAAACAAGAAAAGAAAATCAAATGGAGACTAGAGAATGCCTTCAAAAGAGCTTCAAGGGCTGGACACAGTGACTCATGCCTGTAATCCCAGCACTCCGGGAGACTGAGGTGGGTGGGTTGCTTGAGGTCAGGAGTTTGAGACCAGCCTGGCCAACATGGTAAAACCTCACCTCTACTAAAACACAACAACTAGCTGGGTGTGGTGGCACACACCTGTAGTCTCAGGTACTCGGGAGGCTGAGGCACGAGAATCGCTTCAACTTGGGAGGCAGAGGTTGCATTGAGCTGAGATTGCACCACTGCACCCCAGCCTGGGTGACAGTGCAAGACTCTGTCTCAAACAAAACAAAACAAAAAGAGCCATGATACCTGATAGGAAGCTCTAGGGGTGACACATAATCCTGAGAATTTAACTGTAACAAATATTGTTACAATATTAATTTTAATTATTAATTGTAACAAGCGTTATTCAATCCCTCTATAATCCTGGCATTGTACTAGCTGAGAATAGAATACTAATAAGACAGTAACTTTATCCTTGAGGGGCATGAAATCACCGGGAGCTAAAAAATAATAGTATTATAATCAAAGACTACATATAGAATTAGGACTGATATAAACCAGTAGTAAGAAATTGTGAGAAAAGTAGAAAATATTGCATCAGAATAAGTTTCTTTGGGTGCTTTCTCTAAAAGAGTTAAATTTCAAAATTATTTTGCTATGATTACCAAATAACATCTATCATTAAAATTTTTCAACATACTTAAAAGTACACTGAATAAAATTTTAAAGATTTATATCCTACTACCTGGAGATAACTATAATAATTTATTATATATACTCTAGACCTTTTCCTATACACATACTTTATTTTTTACCTTTTTATTTTTTTTTTTTTTGCTCTGTTGCCAGGCTGGAGTACAGTGGCACAATCTTGGCTGAATGCAACCTCCGTCTCCTGGGTGCAAGCAATTCTGCCTCAGCCTCCTGAGTAGCTAGGACTGCAGGTGTGGGCCCCATGCCCAGCTGATTTTTATATTTTTAGTAGAGATGAGGTTTCACCATGTTGGCCAGGGTGGTCTTGATCTCCTGACCTTGTGATCCGCCCGCCTTGGTCTCCCAAAGTGCTGGGATTACAGACGTGTGCCACTGCACCTGGCCTATTTTATTTTTTCGAGACAGAGTCTCAGTCTGTTGCCCAGGCTGGAGTGCAGTAGTGTGATCATGTTGCACTGCAGCTTCCACCACTGGACTCAGTGATCCTCCCACCTCAGCCTCCCGGGTATCTCGGCCTGCAGGCATGTGACACCATGCCCAGCTATATATATATTTTTGTATTTTTTCCAGAAATGGGATTTCGCCATGTTGCCCAGGCTGGTCTTGAACTCCTGGGCTCAGGCAATCTGTCCTCCTCAGTCTCCCAAAGTGCTGGGATTATAGGCATGTGCCACTGTGCCTGGCCTGCATACTTTTTTTTTTTTTTTTTTGAGATGGAGTCTCACCCTGTCCCCCAGGCTGGAGTGCACTGGCATGATCTCTGCTCACTGCAACCTCCACCTCCTGGGTTCAAGCAATTCTCATGCCTCTGCCTCCCAAGTAGCTGGGATTACAGGCCCGTGAAACCACACTCGGCTAATTTTTGTATTTTTAGTAGAGACAGGGTTTCACTATGTTGACCAGGCTGGTCTTGAACTCCTGACCTCAAGCGATCTGCCCGCCTCAGCCTCCCAAAGTGCTGGGATTACAGGTGTGAGCCACCACACCTGGCCTTTGTGAGCATTTTAAGTTTAAGCCATTCTGATGGGTGGCTTGTGCTCTGTCATTTTCATTTCCTGATGACTAACCATGTTGCACATCTTTTCAAGCGCTTGCTATACATGAATCGCCTTTACAAATAAAACTGGAAGGATGGTTTACCAGCTGATTTGTGCGTACTGGAACAGAATGGAAGCAGCAAGGAAGTTATTAGGCTCTATTGGCCCAGTGGCTGGTCTATCTAGCCTAGTAGAAAAAACTTATTTCGCTAATAAATGTAAGCAGACTGTATGCTCTTTACAGGTGGGCAACATTTAGCAACAGATTCTTTTGAGGGCCTGAGCCTGAAGACTTCCACTCCATTTTTCTTTTCTTTTTTTTTTTTTTCTCAACTCCAAGGAATCAGTAATCTTCATTCTTAATTGTATCATCTACTTTCTCTAGCACCTCTCCTCATTCTGAGTGCTGCTGAAGGAAGATGCTGAATCATTCAAACCTAACACGTTAGGTTCAAGGACTTTATCATCATCTGTTTATTTCTCTAATTCCCCAGGCACATCTCACATGGTAATTCTATTCTTTCTCCTTAAGATCTTGACATTTTTCCCCCACCCCAAGACAGGGTCTTGCTGTTGCCCAGGCTGGTGTGCAGTGGTGCAGGCATGCTCACTGCAGCTTCAACCTCCTAGGCTCAAGGGATCTTCCCACTTCAGGCTCCTGAGTAGCTGAGATTATAGGTGCACACCACCATGCCTGGTGAATTTTTTTAATTTTTTTTTTGTAGAGGCAGGGTCTTCCTATGTTGCTCAGGCTGTTCCCAAACTCCTGGCCTCAAGTGATATTCCTGCCTCAGCCTCCCAAAGTACTGGATTACAGGTGTGAACTGCTGCACCCTGCCCTTAAACTCTTAAATTTGACTATCAATAGATAGTTGTTGACTAAAGTTAGTCTTTAAAGATGTGTTTCATATTTAGAAATACTTTTAATTTGTGGCACTTTCAGGCAATATTTTGTTGGTGTTATTTGCTGCATACAATCATGGCATTTAAGAAATAAAATTAGAGAAAACAAAGCATCTATTATTCTACCTTCCAAAAACATTGTATTGTTAATTTCTCGCGCTTCATTCTAGGGCTTATTCTTTGTAGATAGCTTGAGAACGTAAATCTAACAGTCATTTGTTACTATTTGGCTCAAAGATTTACTGTTATTTATTGTGGTGATAAGCTTTCTTCTCTCTTAGATCCACAAAGAAACAGCAAGTCAACATGATACGTGTGCTCACCAGGAAGGACTGAGGCCAGAATTGTCATGCCAGAGACGAAGGCTGTGCAGTTCCCCTAGAGAGGAATGAGTGGTGAGAAGGAAGACATCCAGGCCCCCTCGTTCAAAGACCGTCTTCTGGGGGTCACAAAGGTGATGGGGCTCACTCTGTCCCTCTGATCCGTAGAGGGTGATAACAACCTATAATGAGACAGGGAAAGGTAAAATATAGGGAGTTTTAACATGATTCTTTGGGTTTATCCATAAGGAGAAAGATGAAGACACAGAAAACTGTATTTAGACTAAGTCTTTCAGATCTTAGACAAGCATAGAGAGCTCTTCATATGTACAGTCTTTTTTTCTGAGACGAAATCTTGCTCTGTCACCCAGACTGGAGTGCAGTGGCGCAGTCTTGGCTCACTGCAACTTCCACCTCCAGAGTTGAAGCCATTCTTATGCCTCAACATCCTGTGTGGCTGGGATTACAGGCATGGGCCATCACCCTCAGTTAACTTCTGCAGTTTTAGTAGAGAAGGGGTTTTGCCATGTTGGCCAGGCTTGTTTCAAACTCCTGACCTCTGGGGACTTGCCTGCCTTGGCCTCCCAAAGTGTTGGAGTTACAGGCAGGAGTCCCCTTGCCTGGCCCACATGTACAGTTTAGAACTATAAAATACCAATCTCTGATCTCTTTTTTTTTTTTTTTTTTTTTGAGATGGAGTCTTGCTGTGTCGCCCAGGCTGGAATGCAGTGGCGCTATCTCAGCTCACTGCGAGCTCTGCTTACGGTGAGCTCTGCCTACTGGGTTCAAGCTATTCTCCTGCCTCAGCCTCCTGAGTAGGTGAGATTACAAGCGCTCACCCCCATGCCCAGATAATTTTTGTATTTTTAGTAGAGACGAGGTTTCACCGCATTGATCAGGCTCGTCTCGAACTTCTGACCTCATAATCTGCTGGCCTCGGCCTCTCAAAGTTCTGGGATTACAAGCATGAGCCACCATGCCCAGCCTCTGATCTCTTTTAAAGTGCTATTGGTTGCCGGGATATCACCAACTCAGAGTGTATCTCACGTGGCAGAAGACACGAAGCAAGGAGGGAAGAACATTTATCTCATTAACCTTAGCTGTTGTAGCAGCCCTTCTTCTATATCCGGTGTAGACCTGAATCAGGTAGTGAAACTGAGCGCTGGGGTCATTATCAGCCAGGACAGTAACCTTCACCTGCAAGAAAAGCAGAACTAAGCAACATACCTGGCCTCCACTTAGTATAGCTCCTGCCTCCAGCTGAGGAGCAAGAGGAGGCAGCCCGCAGGTGTGGCAGCCCTAGAGAAAGCAGGGCGGACGTGTGGTCAGCGGACAGACACACCAGCAGACCTAAGCCACTAAAGTAGGGATGAGGCCTGAACCTCTGGGCCTGTGCCTCTCAAGTGAAATCACAGAATCAATCACCTGATCATGTCTTGGGCCTCTAAATCCTCCCACCTCCCTCCCACTCAGGTACAGTCACCACATAACAGAGAAAACCCAGCTAAATTTGCATTTCAGATAAACTATGAATGATTTGGGACATGCTTACACTAAAAACACACTATTTGTTTAAAATGCAAATTTAACTAGGTAGCCTGAATTTTTGTTTACTGACACTGAGAACCTGAACTCAGGGCAACAAGAAATGAACATCTGGCGTATTCTAGAATTTCCACGTGCAAGAAAACATATGAAGAACATACACATGGAAAGAAGATATTGTCAAAAACAAATTTTTTTTTTTTTTTGAGATGGAGTCTTGCCCGGTTGCCCAGGCTGGAGTGCAGTGGCGCAAGTGAACCAAGATTGTGCCACTGCAACCTCCGACTCCTGGGTTCAGGTGATTCTCCTACCTCAGGCTCCCGAGTAGCTGGGATTACAGGTGCCCGCCACCACGCCCAGCTAATTTTTATATTTTTAGTAGAGATGGGGTTTCACCATGTTGGCCAGGATGGTCTCAATTTCTTGACCTCATGATGATCTGCCCACCTCGGCCTCTCAAAGTGCTGGGATTACAGGCGTGAGCCACTGCGCCCAGCCAAGGTTTTTGTTTTTATAAAGATTCCATATAGGTTTCTTGTATATTATAGTTTTATAGTTACATTTTTACTTTGTCTAAAAAAAAAAAAAAAAAAAAAAGAGTCTTGCTATGTTGACCAGGCTGGAGTGACGTGGTGTGTTCTTGGTTCACTGCAACCTTTACCTCCCTGGTACAAGTGATCCCCCTACCTCAGCCTCCTAAGTAGCTCGGATTACAGGTGCCCATCATCATGCCTGGCTAATTTTTGTATTTTTAGTAGAGATGGGGTTTCACCATGTTGGCCAGGCTGGTCTTTAACTCTTGACCTCAAGCAATACACCAGCCTTGGCCTCCCAAAGTGTTGAAATTACAGACATGAGCCACTTTACCTGGCCAGTTACATTAAGTTATAATTTGACTTACATATAACTTACTTTCTTTTTTTGAGACGTAGTCTCATTCTGTTGGCCAGGCTGGAGTGCAGCGGCATGATCTCGATCTCGGCTCACTGCAGCCTCCTTCTCCCGGGCTCAAGCAATTCTCCTGCCTCAGCCTCCCAAGTACTTGGGATTACAGGCGTGTGCCACCACACCCGGCTAATTTTTCTATTTTTAGTAAAGACAGGGTTTCACCATGTTGGCCATGCTGGTCTTGAACTCCTGACCTCAGGTGATCCACCTGAGGTGGCCTCCCAAAGTGCTGGGATTACAGTCGTTGAGCCACTGTGCCCTGCCGACTTACATATAACTTTCATATCCAATGTATAAAGTAGGATAAAGTTGCATTTGACTGTAGTTAAGCTCTCTAGGTGTTTTCTTTTTTTTTTTTTTTTTTTTTTTTTTTTTTTTTTTTTTTTTTTTTGGAGGTTTGTTTTTTGTTGCGCAGGCTGGAGTAAAGTGACAAAACAATAGCTCACTGCGGCCTCAAGCTCCTGGACTCAAGTGACCTTCCTACCTCAGCTACCCAAGTAGCTGGGACTACAAGGATGCACCACCATGCCAGGCTATTTATTTTTATTATTTTTTTAAATTTTCAGTAGAGACAAAGTCTTGCTATGGTGCCCAGGCTGGTCTTGAACTCCTGAGCTCAAGTGATCCTCCTGCCCTGGCCTCCCAAACTGCTGGGATTACAGGTATGAGCCACTGCACCCAGCTGGTGTTTTCTTTTGGCTCATTCCTAATCTAAAATGAGTCCCACAACTGTCCAATCTTGGATCCAGAAGAAAAAAAAAAAGAAAAAGTTCTTAGGTCTTGAGACAGTGGACATGAAGATAAATTTAAGAAAAGTTTCACTTGAATTTCTGTGGCTCTCAGTATTGCACCACTGGCTTCTTTTGACAAAGGTATGTTTTTTCCCCATGTTATTTAACATACTCAGTATCATGGTGAAACTGCTGGACTCCAAGTCTCATTACCTTCTGCATATCTGCTTGATCTTTTCTCCAGGCCCACACAACTATGATCATGTAGAATCCTAAAAGGCTGGCCAGCAGCGACACCCCAACAGGATTGCTGGTCACATGAAGGAAGAGTATGATAGTGTCTTCAACATTCACAGTCCTGGGCACGACAAGGAAGTCACTGGCAAAGAAGGTCAGGTGGTTACAGAGACACTGTGTCCTCAGAATTGTGCTCTGTGGCCCAACCTGGAATTAGAATCAAAATGTAGACTCTAGTCAGATAGAGTGCTAAGGACAAGCCAGACATAAACATTGGCAATTTAGAGATGAAAAGAGATGCTTAGATCTCACTCACTGCTGGTCATGGCATAAACTGGTATAACCAATGTGGAAAGCAATTCAGCAACACCTAGTACAGCTGAAGAAGCACCAACTCTTTGAATCCTGCATTTCCAGTTCTGAATGTATATATGCTCTAGGGGAACTTTGCACATGTGTATAAAGATCTACTAAAAGAAATGTTCTGTCACCCTTGTTTATAATTACCAAAAACAGGAAAAAACTTACACGTTTAATAACAGAACCTACAAATTAATAAATACATAAGCAGGCAGAGGCAAACTAATGGAATTCTACACAGCAGCTAAAAATGAATGAATTAGCCAGGTGTGGTGGCTCATACCTGTAATCCCAGCACTTTGGGAGGCTGAGGCAGGTGGACTACCTGAGGCTAGGAGTTCAAGACCAGCCAGGACAACATGGCAAAACCCCATGTCTACCTAAAATATAAAAATTAGCCAGGTATGGTGGCGCATGCCTGTAGTCCTAGCTACTTGGGAAGCTGAGGCAGAAGAATTACTTGAATCCATGAGGCAGAGTTTGCAGTGAGCTGAGATCATACCACTGCATTCCAGCCTGGGTGACAGAGCAAAACTCCATCTTCAAAAATAAACAAATAAAAATGAACGAATTAGAGGTAGATGTATCAACACAGATAAATGCTGAGTAAATAAAACACATTAAAGAGATATGTACAGTATAGTGCTATTTACACAACGCCTAAGAAGCATGCAAAAGACTTATCTATTCATTGTTTCCCTCTCCAGAATGTAAGTTCATGAGGATATTGTCTTGTTCACTGCTTTATCTCTAGTTCCTAGACTTGGGCATGGCATGTAGAAGATACTCAATAAACGCTTGCTGAAAGAATGAACACCCACACAAATTCAGGCCAGTAGTTACCCTTTGGTGGAGGGGAAGGAAGGAGAGAGATTAGGGAGGGCTACACAAAGTGCTTCAATTATTCCTGAAATTTTTAAAGATAATCTGAAGCTGAGGAAAATATGAACTTTAATAAAGTTGAATGTGCATTCAGTGTCTTTTTTTATATTATTTCTTATGACTTTCCGTATGTTGGAACATTTCTTCTTAATATTTAAAAAAAATGTCAGAAGGTGATTACATGGAAGCTACCAATTCTATGTTTGGTTTTGTGGATGAAAAGCCTAAAGTACTGTCATGACTACTTATTTCCATGGCACAGAGTTAAGTCCTGGAGGCCCAATCTAGTTTGCCCTTAGAAGAACTCTTGGCCGGGCGCGGTGGCTAATGCCCTTAAGCCCAGCACTTTGGGAGGCCAAGGCGGGCGGATCACCTGAGGTCAGGAGTTTGAGATGACCCTGGCCCACATGGTGAAACCCCTCTCTGCTAAAAACACAAAAATTAGCTAATGTGTGGTGGCAGGTGCCTGTAATCGCTGCTACTTGGGAGGCTGAGGCAGCAGAATTCCTTGAACCTGCGAGATCCTGCCAGTGTACTCCAGGATCTGGGAAACAAGAACGAAACTTTATCTCAAAAAAACAAACAAACAAAAACTCTTGTGCTGTACTTGGGGCAGCTCAATTCCTTTCATGGGGTCCAAGCACTTCAGAGTGCTTCAAGGAGGTGGGAAATATCCGATGCCTTCTGCAATCAGTGGGTCTGTGCTGTGGGAGGGGAAAAGCTCTCAAGCTTCTCCAAGCATGGTTTCCCTAACAAGCAACACTGGCATCAGCTGGGAGCTTGTTAGAAAGACTCTCAGGGCCTGACCAGAGCTACTGCATCAGAATCTCCTTTTTAACAAGCCCTGTTTATACATTTGCTTGATAGCCATTGTCCAGCTATGACTGCCTGAGGCTATGAATGGTACAGATTCCTTCCTAAAAATCCTCTTTCTGGCCTCCCAAAGTGCTGGTGGGAGGATTGCCTGAGTCCAGATGTTCAAGACCAGCGTAGGCAACATGTTGAGACCCTGTCTGACCAAAAAATTAGCCAGGCGTGGCAGCATATGCCTTTCATCCCCACTACTTGAGAGGCTGAGGCAGGAGGATCTTTTGAGGCCGGGAAGTTGAGGCTGCAGTAAGGCGTGATCACAATCACTGCACTCCAGCCTGAGCAACACGGTGAGACCCCATCTCAAAGAAAAAAAATTCTCTTTCCTTCTCTTCCCAATCTAGATGGCCCTTTCTCAGCTCTTTTAGGACAGCTTCATGCTTTGCAAGACCTTACATCACGTTCTTTGAGCTACTGAACCAGGACTTTATCAGGCGTAATCTCACAGAATCACGAGTGTGCAAATTTAATAGTGGTGTTTTAAGCCAGCTGGACACCAGGAACAAGGCGATTAATTACAAAAGTGACAACCTGTCCTCACTTGGCCTGAATTGCACAAGAATCTGAGAACATAGTTCTTTTTCCAAGCTATGAATGTTCTCTTTTGTTTAGCAACAGGCTTCATTTTACCCACCCACAACCTATTTAGGACTTGTAGAATTTTACAGCTTCCACACACTGCTTTATTTTATCCACAATGGTCAGGTCTACCCTGGACTGTTTGAGAAAGAAACTACAAAGATAAAGCACAAAGCTGCCCCCGCTCAGAAGAGCCACACTCGCTCTGCCCACCACACACAACCCTGCTTCCCTTGCCCAAGCAGAGTCACTTCATACCTCCTGATGATTTTTCTTGCTGGGCTGCCCCAAATGAGATAACAGATGCATTGGGTTTAACGGTGGCTACAGCAGAAGAGAGGCCCCAGAGGCGGCTCAGTTTCTTACTTGGCATCCATGGCTGCTCCACGTCCGGTTGTGGCTGTCCCAGTAATAACACTGAGTGACGGCTGTGATGACGGAGACCAAGCTGGGCATCTGCTGAACACCCTCCTGGCTCTCACTCAGCACAGCTGTTATATAGTAGGTGCCAATGCCGTGCTGTAGATGCTCTGGAGTCAGTACCCATATGTACTCCTCATCTTAGAACAAAGAAGATTACTTACTTATCAAACAGGACAAAAACACCAGTAGAACCTCTCTTCTAAAGGATCGATTGTTAATATTTTACAAATGAGATAATGATAAACCTAGAGTCACAAACGATTTGAAAGAAAATGACCAGTGATACAATCCCAGGCTCCAGGTCACTGCTTTGCTCCTAAGGAATCACTGGCATGACACGGCTCAAGAGCTACATCTTGGGCCAGGCACCGTGGCTCGCGCCTATAATCCCAGCGCTTCAGGAAGCTGAGGTGGGTGGATCACTTGAGATCAGGAGTTCGAGACCAGCCTGGTGAATGAGGCAAAACCCCACGTCCACTAAAAATAGAAAAATTAGTGGGGTGTGGTGATGTGGGCCTGTAATCCCAGCTACTCTGCAGGCTGAGCCAAGAAAATTGCTTGAACCTGGAGAAGTTGCAGTGAGTTGAAATCACACCACTTTACTCCAGCCTGGGCAACAGAGTGAGATTTTTGTCTCAAAAAAAGACATTCTTTTGGTATGTGATCATTTAGGTCTAATGATTTAGAATGTATTATGAGGTTTACAAAAATGAAATGATCACACACCTGTTAGCAGATGGAAGACTAAGGTAACAAGAGAAACCCCAGGGTGAAGCAAAGACAGGGATAGGGTGGCTCCAGGAACAAAGCCCAGGTTGGCACGCCAGGGACCTGAGGTCAGGCCTGGCTCTGTCACCAGCTGGCTGGTAGGGGATAAGGCCAGTCACCCGGTCTCTCTGGGCCTCAGCTTTCTCATCTTTCAAAGAGTCCTGTTTCTCAAACAAAGGCTCTCAAAGGCCCCTTCCCACTCTGAATGACAAGATATCATTGCCAAGATCAGCAAGAAAAACTGAGTGCATGGCCAGGCGCAGTGGCTCACACCTGTCATCCAAGGACTTTGGGAGGCTAAGGCAGGAGGATCTCTTGAGCCCAGGAGTTCGAGACCAGCTTGGCCAACATGGCAAAACCCTGTCTCTACTAATAATACAGAAAATTAGTCCTCCCAGCAGTCCCAGCTGCTTGGGAGGCTGAGGCATGAGAATCACTTGAACCTGGGAGGCTCAGCCTGCAGGGAGCCTGGGCGACAGAGTGAGACTCCACCTCAAAACAAAAACAAAAACAAAACCGAATGCACCTTTGGAATCGGAAAAGGGCCCGTTGGAAAGTCACACAAACTCTGCAGTGGGCAGCCTGGTAGTGAGCATTGCTGACTCAGGGGCTTTGCCTAAAAGAAAGAACTTAAAAGTGATTGTTCCTGTTGAGAGGGGCCCATGTTTGAACCAGAGAAAGTTCTTTGAACACAGAAAGTGGTCCTGATGGGAGACTGCAGCATGCTTTCTCCACTTGGAATTTTCCCAATGTAAAAATAAACACAAAGTGTAGCTCTCATTAAGACTTTTCACTACTACATTTGAAGTAGATACTCACAGAGCATGTTTTTGATCAAATATATCTAAGCACTATTTATATATATCAGGAATTTTTATTTTTTATTTTTGAGACAGTGTCTTGCTCTGTTACCAAGGCTGGAGTGCAGTGGTATGATCCAAATTCACTGCAGTTTTCAACTCCTTGCCTCAAGCAATCCTCTTGCCTGAACCTCCCAAGTAGCTAGGACTACAGGTGCACATCCCTACACCCGGCTTTTTTTTTTTTTTTTTAAACTTTTTTTGTAGAGACAGTCTTGCTATGTTGCCCAGGCTGGTCTCAACCTCCTGGCCTTAAGTGATCCTCCTGCCTTGGCCTCTCAAAGTGCTGGCATTATAGGCATGAGCCACTACACCAGGTCAGACATTTTTAACTGTAATGTTATGTCTCAGAAATTCTTAACTTTTAAAAACTACAGTATAGTCATCCACTGAGATATCATCAGGCTTTTCTTCCTCAAATCTAAGATAAGAAACAAAGTTGAAGTCTATGGCTGTACCACCCTAAATGTGCCTGATCCTGGAAGCTAAGCAGGGATGGATCTGGTTATTACTTGGATGGGAGACTGCCTGGGAATACTGGGTGCTGTAGGCATTAAAAAATAATAAAGTTGAAATACATATGATGTATTTTGTATACACTCATCTACAATATATAAATGTGAAGTACATGTAACCCACGGTGCTGTGAACCTTACTTCTGCTGTGGGCCTCAACTTATTATGAAAATCTTCAACCATACAGAAAGAACTTTACAGAGAATAACCATATGAACACTAACTAGATTCTACAATTAACATCTTACTAAATCCGCTTCCTCACATATATATCCTTATCCATCCAATAATCAATATTTTAAAAAAATGCATTTCATGGTCACATGTATCTACACACGTGGTAAAATCACACAGACATACAGATACACACACATACAGAAATGTGTTTGTAAACCTGGTGAAATCTGCATAAAATCAGTGCAGCGTATTAATGTGATTTTCTGGTTGTGATTTACTGTAGTTATACAAGATGCTGCCATTCAGAGAAGCTGGATGAAAGGTATACAAGCCGTTGCTGTTTTTTTTTTTTTCCAACTTTTTTTTTTTTTTTGAGGCAGAGTCTCTGTTACCCAGGCTGGACTGCAGTAGCATCATCTCAGCTCAATGCAACCTCTGCCTCCCAGATTCAAGTGATTCTTGGGCCTCAGCCTCCCGAGTAGTTAGGATTACAGGTGTCCACCACCATCACCAGCTAATTTTTGTATTTTTAGTAGAAACGAGGTTTTACCATGTTGGCCAGGCTAATCTCAAACTCCTGACCTCAGGTGATCTACTGGTCTCTCCCTCCCAAAGTGCTAGGATTTCAGTGGGATTACAGGCATAAGCCAAGGCGCGCCCAGCCTGTCTAGTTATTTTTCTTCTCACTCTGTCACCCAGGCTGGAGTACAATGGCGCAATCTTGGCTCACTACACCTTCACCTCCAGGGTTTAAGCAATTCTTCTCCCTTAGCCTCTCAAGTAGCCTGGATTACAGGTGCCTGCCACCACGGCCTGGCTATTTTTTTGTATTTTTAATAGAGATGGGGTTTTCACCCTGTTGACCAGGCTAATTTCGAACTCCTAACCTCAGGAGATCCACCCACCTCGGCGTTCCAAAGTGCTGGGATTACAGGTGTGAGCCACTGCACCTGGCCTGTCTCTGTTATTTCTTGTAACTGCATGCAAATCTATAATTATCTCAAAATAAAATTTTTTTAAAACAAGAAAAAAATTTGGCCAGGTGCAGTAGCTCATGCCTGTAATCCCAGCACTCTGAGAGGCTGAGACAGGAAGACTGCTTGAAGCCAAGAGTTCAAGACCAGCCTAGGCAACATGGCAAGACCCTATCTCTACAAAAGTTCTTTTTAAAAAATTAGCTAGATGTGGTGGTATGCACTTGTAGTCCCAGCTACTCAAGAGGCTAAGGCAGGAGGATCCCTTGAGCCTGACAGTTTGGACAGTTTGAGGCTGCAGTGAACAATGATGGTGCCACTGTACTCCAACCTAGGCAAAAACAAACAAAAAAACACAAGGTAAGTTTCTAACAGCTGATTGGGTTTTACCTTTTTGCCACACCTTATCCTTTGGAAGAGTGATGTTCAGGTGGAAGTGAGTGCAGTTAGGCTGATACTGGAACCCCATGTAGAGAGTCATTAAAAGGGGACTGTCAGGATCTATGCTCACTATCAGGGATTTCTCCAAGGACGTGACGTTCACTGTGATTGTAAACTGATCTGTGCTCATATTGACGCTGGTGGGATGGGTTTCCAGGCTAACATTTCTCCAGAGCATGATCTAGAATAAGAGACAATCATCACAATGGTCAATTCATTGATGCCTTTCAAAATCCATTATATTGATAAGGTAAGGAAATTTCCTAGGTCCTTTTTTTTTTTTTTTTTTTTTTCCCCTGAAATGGGGTCTTGCTAGTTGGCCAGGTTCATCTTGAACTCCTGGTCTCAAGTAATCCTACTGCTCCAGCCTCCCCAAATGCTAGGATTATAGGCATGAGCCACTGTCGCAGCCAAGGCTTCCTCATTGGATGTTAGTAGCTGATGCTGCTGAGGTTAAAAGTATATAGACCAAGACCTAAAACAGTTATTATTATTTTTGACACCAAGTGCCACTGTTGCCCAGGCTAGAGTGCAGTGGCGTGATCTCAGCTCACTGTAACCTCTGCCTCCCAGATTCAAGCTATTCTCCTGCCTCAGCCTCCAGAGTAGCTGGGATTACAGGTGCCCACCATCACGCCCAGCTAATTTTTTGTATTTTTAGTAGACACAGGGTTTCACCATGTTGGCCAGGCTGGTCTCAAACTCCTGACCTCAAGTGACCTTCCCACATCAGCCTCCCAAAGTGCTGGGATTACAGGCATGAGCCACTGTGTCCAGCTCTCTAAAACACTTTTTCTAAGGGTAAGGTATGTCTCCCTGTAAAAGTTCCTAAGATGTTAATAACAACAATGGCACAGCCATCATTCTAACATAATTCCTTTTAAGTTGTTGCATCCTCCCACCCTGTTTTAGAATATCCCATTCTAATATCCCATTTTATTCCCTAAGAATCCGTTGTTACCTCAATGTCCTCCATTAAATCATGGACTTGGAGCAATTTATGATTAGCACTTAGTAACACACTTCCAATGCTTCCAACAACGTTTCTGTTGTCTAAATCCTTGAAGGGATTGAAAGCTAGTCCTGTTACCTAGAGACAAAGAAAAGTCCAGTTTTATCCACTGCTGAAATGTTTATAAATGACCCCAATAAGTAGAAAGATATCAGATATCATATGTATGTATACATAACCATATAAGTGTATATATGTCTTTTTTTTTTTTTTTTTTTTTTTTTAAGAGAAAGAGTCACACTCTGTCAACCAGGCTGGAGTACAGTGGCATGATCACAGCTCACTGCAACCTCTGCCTCCCAGGTTCAAGTGAGTCTCCTGCCTCAGCCTTCCAAGTAGCTGGGACTACAGGCATGTGCCACCATGCCTGGCTAATGTTTGCATTTTTAGTAGAGATGGGGTTTCCTTATGCTGGTCAGGGTGGTCTCAAACTCCGGGCCTTGAGGGATCCTCCTGCTTCAGCCTCCCAAAGTGTTAGGATTACAGGAGTGAGCCATCATGTCCAGCTGGATATCATGTATTAAAGTAAATGTTGGGATGTTACCCCTACTAATACTACAATAACATTCTACATTATAATCTCTATGAGAAATAGTTAATTAAAGATGAATTACACCTGGGGCCCCCAGAATTATTATTTTTCTTCTTTGTATCTAGAGGATTCTGTTTTACTAGGAAGTAACTATTTTGCTCTTCAGGATAAGGAAACGATGCTACCTATATTTGTCAGGTAATTACTGAAAGAAATATATTGATATGAGTAGGTTGGCATACTTAGTCAACAATTACTTAGATAGTGCCAGCTTTTTTTAAAATAGCGCAGAGGCTGGGTACAGTGGCTCACACCTGTAATCCCAGCACTATGGGAGGCTGAGGTAGGCGGATCACCTGAGGTCAGGAGTTTGAGACCAGCCTGGCCAACTTGGTGAGACCACATCTCTACTAAAAATACAAAAATTAGCTGGGCGTGGTGGCACACACCTGTCATCCCAGCTACTAAGGAGGCTGAGACAGGAGAAGCACTTGATCTCAGAAGGCAGAGACTGCAGTGAGCTGAGATCGTGCTACTGCACGCCAGCCTGGGTGACAGATTGAGACTCTGTCTCAAAACAACAACAACGAAAAACAAACTGCAGAGTTGAGATCAATTCAAATCAGAACCTAGAAATCTAATTAAATCCAGAAATCTGTTTAATGCTCCCAACTTCTACAGTGGATCATTTTTAAGAAGTCTCTATCCCTGCCAGTATGAAATAAAAACAAATGCCACATAAACTCTCTCATCTGATCTAGTCCATTCAGCTTACCTTTCATGGTACATTACTTTTGCCCCAATGCCTACATGGCCATAAGATCCCATTTTCATTCCGATCACAATCAATTTCACACTCACTTGGACATTAACTCCGGGGTGTTTATTCAAGAGCTCCTTCAAAGCTGAAGCCGATGGAAAGCCTAGTCTCACAGGGGCCGGCTGACCCAGCGTGTAAGAGCTCAGAGGTAAAGTTGATAGGTTTTGTCTAATGAGAAACAAGTGAAAAAGGAAGTCAATTTTTCTATGGGCTCTGAAAGTGAAAAACAGTGAAACTCGTCCTGTTCCTTCCTCCCTTGTTAACCTGCTCAGCAGCAGAGAAGCAATAGAAGAGGTCAAAGTCACGGAAGACTCGGGAGGCTGCTTCTGCTCTAGAAATGCTTCCCCAATATTCCCAAGCGCCACCAAGGACATTTCCAGCATGTCTTCTACCTGCATTGAGAGGAAAACAGCGTGTGACTTGTAAAACCTTAGTGTCTTGTATCAGTAAAATAATGTTTTGGAGAGGATTGGAAGGGGAATTTTCAGTGGTGTAATAAGGCTGGTATTCCTCAGAGAAGGCCTTGGAACCCAGCAGAAAGTACCTGCAACCTGGCTACAGACTTACCATCCTATGAACCCAACTAAGAGGGCTAACCAAAGAAATACGCCTTTGCCTCATCAGATTATCAGCCTAGACCTGCTCATGATAGTTTTTTTTTAAATGACAGCTTTATTGAGGTGACTTTCCTATATAAAATTTATCCACTGAGAGTATATAACAATGTTTTTTAGTATACTCACAGGGTTATGCAACCATCACCACAATCTAATTTTAGGATTTAACCTCCCTAAAATAAACTTGGTAGCTGGGTGTGGTGGCTCACGCCTGTAGTCCCAGGACTTTGGGACAGTTGGATCACTTGAGGTCAGAAGTTTGAGACCAGCCTGATTGACATGGTGAAACTCTGTCCCTACTGAAAATACAAAAAATTAGCTGGGCATGGTGACACATACCTGTAGTTTCAGCTACTTGAGAGGCTGAGGGGGAAGAATAGCTTTAACCTGGGAGATGGAGGTTGCATTGAGCCAAGATCGTGCCACTGCACTCCAGCCTGGGAGACAGAATGAGACTCTGTCTCATAAAATAAAATAAACCTGGTACCAATTAGCAGTAAGTCTTCATTCCCCCATCCCTAGTCCCTCTATCTCTAGGCAACCATGAATGTACTTTCTGTGTCTATAGATTTGCCTCTTTGGGACATTTCATATAAACGCATCACAATACAGTCTTTTGTGATGGGCTTCTTTTACTTGGCATTATGTTTTCAAGGCTCATGTTGGAGCATGTACCAACACTTCATTCCTTTTTGTTGCTGAATAATATTCCATTGTATGAATAGACCAGATTCTATTTAGCCATCCATCAGATCATAGATAAGAGAGTAGTTACCACTTTTTGGCTATTTAGCTATTAAACCATGCTGCTACAAACATGAGTGTACAAGTTTTTGTATGGACATGTTTTCAATTCTCTTGGGTAGACACGAGGAGAATTGCTAGATTACATGGCAATTTTATTTTTTACTTTTTTTTTTTTTT